TTGTTTTATTTATTTTGTGTATCAGTCCCAGTGTTAAGTGTTCTTTTGAAAGTAAAGTGTTTCTATCTTTGGCAGGAAATCGCATGTATTTTTACGTAATTTCCATTAAATCAATGTAAAAAGGTCTTCAAACAATATTATCGTTTATCGCAATAATTTTTGAGACAATTTATCGCCCAGCAAAATCTGTTTTCGTGACAGGCCTACTACCAAAGTGTTTCAGTGGACTCAAAACGGCTCATGTCTGACAGCCGCTGACAGCTGGCAGCCTTGGCATAAAGTCTTAATTCAGATTGCCACCTCACATAGAAAAACTCTGACATCTCATTCAGGCAGCTTTGTCACAGCAGAGAAACACGTTCTTCAATAGAAACACAGAGAGATGCCTGACAGCATCTGATTGCAAATCTCATCCCCCTCGGTAACTAACATATCTGACTGAACTGTCCACCAATGATTGCTGCATGATGTATTGTCTTTATTTCTTATGAATTTGTAAATCCACTTATTATTCCATTCTGCAACAGGAAGAGTTTATTGCATGATCATGAGAGGATAATTCATCTGTTTGAAACTCACTTCTCCTTTCAGATTCCTCCACTTTAAGTCAAGAGCATATTAGCTTTTTTTGTTGTTGTTGTTTTGCCATCACTAGATGATCAATATATAAAAAACCTGATTGTCTTTGCTGGTGCAAAAAATACTAGGGTTACTGTGGAGAAAAACAAAATATATTTTAGAATTTAATTTTAGAATTCTAAGAAAAGCATCAGAATTTTTCAGCCTTTTTTAACAGATGATGATGAATAGCGTCGCAGTAATTTTATTTAGAAGCGCACTTCCAACCTAGGCCAGCAGATGGCAGCGCTTTAAGACTGGTTGCTTATCAACTCCCATCGGAAAAGAATGTTTTTCCAAAGGTATCAATGACATCAGCAGCGATGTCATGACTCTATGACCCCACAAAGGAATCTCTCTCTTGAATGTAGCTCACAGAGAGAGTTTTGTCAGACCTGTTCCACAGTTCTACTGCAGCAGATCACTCTACACAGCACGTTCGAAAGTCATTGAAACAAGCGGAATATCGATATCGCCTTCGAGAGAAGCAACAATATCGACATGAAGCAACAGCAGATTGCTAGTGAACATGAAGCTTTTCCATCTAAGCTTTCATGGGTCGACATCATGGACCTTAACGTCCAAGTCGACTACGACGCTGTCGTTTTCCCTTTTGAGGATGAGAGCGGCAGCCCCATTGAGCCGGAAGATGTACCATCTAAGATCCAGGGGGAATCAAGTCCTTCCGGCCACTTTGAGAGTTCAACATCTTCTGAAGTCCAGCAGGAAACAACTCAGTCTGCTGGCTTCAAGATCACCCCCTCAGTGGAAGTGGCGGACAAGGCAAGCCAATGCGTCACTGACCTGACAAAGCAGGTGGACGATCTTAAAAAGGAGTTGCAGAGTAAGATCTTTGATCTCCACGAGGAACGAGACAGAAGGATTGCCTATCAGTCTGAAGTCCAATCCCAGCAAGAGGAGATTCGAAGACTGCAAAAATTGTTACAAGAAGAACGTCACCAGCAAGTCAAACAAGATCATGACAGAAAAGTGCCAGAAGCTACAGGTGGCTCAAGGGCTTCTTGCTCTTCAAAAGTTACAGCGGACAAGAGCCTCCTTCAACAGCTCGATTACTTCAAGAGGGAGGCTGTAAAACATGCCTCCCACAACAAAGGTCTCATAGAAGTAATGGTTGAAGAGTACAGAGTGAGGCTGAATTATGAGGAGCAGCTCAAACGACATGCTGAGCAAGCTTCCAAATATATAGAACAGGAGGAGATGGTGAAATCTCTTCAGGAACAGGTCGCAGACCTGAAAATTAAGCTGAAACTTGCCATGGAAAACATCCATCCTGAAGTTTCCACCCAACCAGAGGCACCCCTGCAAAGGGAAAGACAGACCTTGAATCAACCGGAGGTCTCCATCCAAAGCCTGGTCCATCCTTTGCACCGACCCACACCCAGGTTGCAAAGAGAGGAGTCCACGCAAAGCCAGACCTCCACACAAACATGGAGGTCTGAAGAAGGACAGACGTCGATGCAACCAACCTCCACAGGTTGCCTGGAGGGCCTTCGTGTTGGCGTTCACATGAAGCGCAAGCTATGCCCGGCTCGGCCTTTGCGCCGACCCACACCTGGTTGGTGCTAACCTCGGTCACTAACCAAACCCAGGTTTGGCTAAAACTGTGCATTAATTAATTGATTAATTGGTCTCTCTAAATTGTCCCAAGGTGTGAATGTGTGTGTGCAAGGTAAGTGTGATAAATATTTGTGAAAATATTAATCACACTGATGATAGTAGAATATGAAACTGAAAATCTGTTTCATATCCTCTGTTTCATAGAGAATATGAAACAGAGAATCTATTCCTAACCCTAACAATAACTAAAACTTAATTGGCATCTTACCTCTAAACGTCACCCCTGACCCAAATCAATGAGTCCATCATATTAGGACCAGGTTTTGGTCCTGATATGATGGAACTAATGTAGTTTCTCAATTCCCCTCCTCAGGCAGACCCCCTGCCCTGCATGTTTTAGGTGTTTCCCCTTCTGCCCCACCCCTGGACTGAATCTGGGTGATTAACAGGCTTCTGCAGAAGAGGTCATGTAATCATTTGGATCAGCTGTTCAGCATCTAAAACCTGCAGAACAGGGGATGTCTGAGGACTGGAACTGAGAAACACTGACCCAGTGTGACACTGGGTATATAATGGTGCAGTCACCAAATGCGTTTTGAGCATCCGGTGCGACTGCTTCGGGTTAGGCTCTGGTTTGCATACGAAGTCTATATGGAAGCGCGTCGAGGGCCGTTGCGGCGCGCTTCGAGGGTCTAGCATGGTGCGATTTGAACCGTTTGGAGCGTTTGACACAGCTGACGCATCCAACACTCCAAGTAGACTTTTAATGTAAACCAGACTTTCCTGACGCTCAAAACGTGTTTGATGTGAATGGACCAGTAGAATGTTCAGTACCACTGGTAACAATGACATCAGTAGTGATGACATCACTCTTTGATGCATCAAATGAGTCTTTCTCCTGAGTGAAGCACAAAGGCTGTTTTTACAGACCTGTTCGTGTTTCAGACTTAAGTTGTAAGTTATGGATCTTCCACAGGAGCGTTGTTACAATTATTTGAAGGCAGAATCGGCTCAGTACAGGTTCACATTCTCAGGTGAGAGAGACTCACCTGCTATAAAGTTAATATTTTTCGGTACCGGAATTACATTGAAGATAAATTAGTTTAATCAAACCACGTCATGAATATGTGAGCATGTATTAGAAGATGTTGTGGAGAGGATTTAAACTTTACAGGATCTGCTGTAAATGACTAAACTAGGAAATATCATTACTTAGTGTTACTACAAAACAAGTCGTTATATGTTGCAAGCATTATCACATCAAAGGATCAACGAAGATCATTAAGGAAAAAGAAAATGCAGTAACAGGGGTCCATACATAGCTTGTCACTTAAAACCGGGAGTCGATCTGGCAAATATTGACATGATGCATAAAAATTAAATAAATGATATCTTACTAGAATGTCATTCCTGTATAAATAAAATAAATAATGACATTTTTAAATGAATAAACAAAATTCCTTATCTGTATTTCTTGGAAGTGATCAAGTCTAATATAGCAATACGAGGCTTAATTTAGAAAACATGCAACATCAGTATGAGTGCAAAATGCAGAGAAATGCGTCGCTGCTTACTAAAGGGCAACATACAGACTTCATAATCTGCACTCTTTTGGTTGAATGCAGTATTTATTTCCACTTTTGCTTCATGTTGTTTAGTTTTTATTCAAGTACATTTTTTGTTAATGGAGACTGAGAATCTATTTTATTTTTGGTTTTAGTTGTTTTATTTATTTTGTGTATCAGTCCCAGTGTTAAGTGTTCTTTTGAAAGTAAAGTGTTTCTATCTTTGGCAGGAAATCGCATGTATTATTACGCAATTTCCATTAAATCAATGTAAAAAGGTCTTCAAACAATATTATCGTTTATCGCAATAATTTTTGAGACAATTACAGCTCATGTTTTGTCCTTCTGTCTGATCGACTCACAGCCGGATCCGTCCAGCGGCGCAGGAGGAAAATGCGGCTCACTGGGATGAATGATCTTTTCTTTACTCTGATCAAAGCCCGCTGACACAGCTCAGTGTCGCTGTATTTATTTCTCTCTGAGGATTTGTTTTTGTTCCCTCTCCTCCTTCCTGTCCTGCTCCGCTCTCAGATTGACAGTGTATACACGTCTGCGTGAATTAGTGTTTTTGCGTGTTTTTTCTCCATGCGTCTGTTTACGATAGCCGTGCCCGGTCTCGTGCGTGCGTTTGCACCGCTCCACGTGCGAGCGTAGTTGGAGTTGGTCTCATTTGCCTCTTTGCCTTTTCTTTTCACTCCTCTAGTTTTGTTGTTTTTTTTTCCTCTGCTGTTCATTTCCTACATGAACCGATTTGCTGAACTGCGCTGCACATCTAGTGCAACATGCTGGACTTTTCTCTGTCCAGATCCACTTAAAGTGCATTTTATCTACAAGCTTAAATGTATTTTATTGCCTGTTTTAATTTGAAAGACCAACACGAAGTAGCAACTTTCTGTAAAGTGTGAAGAAAATGCCTTTTGAAGTTTTTCTGGCATATAAGGTTGAAAGCTCTGGTGCGAGTAGAAGTTTTTATTAGCCAGATGATCAGTGTGTTGTTGTAATGGGACAAAATGCAAAAATATGAAAGATGTGTGATTATAGTTTCAAAGCATTGCGCCTGTTCAGTCAGATTCTCGTTTTATCCACTATTTGATAGGCATCAAGCGACAGCAAGTAGAAAAGAGTTGTAAGATTAAGTTTCAGAAATTAGATGCTATGCATTAAGCTTGAAACTCCAGAACGGCAAAAGCAAATTCAAAAGACTTAATTGATCTATTAAGACCCTGATTTGTTTTTCAGATCCCATTCTCACTGGTGCAGTTTCCGCTCTGGGAATATTTGAAGGTACGTATCATTCTCCTTCTCATAAAAGCTGTTATTTTATTCTCCGTTTTTTATTGTATGGCCGTATTATCTCAGTAGCTTGATTTCCAGCAGTAACACCGAGCGATAAATCCATAGTAAAGCCGTAGCTCGGTGCTTAACCTCCTGACACTTTTACAGCGGACTCCTCCTCCGCATTCCCCTGTATCATTGTGGCAGGCAAAATGTGACTCCAACACCGTTTAATGGACCATTGCCGCCGCCATCAAATTTGTCTCTCTTTCCGCACCTTCCTTTCTGCTGTAATGTCTTTATTCCTCCGCTTCTCACTGTGTGGCCCCGAGCCAATAAAAGGCCATTTCTCTTTGAGAGGACGGCATTTGTGCCGAGTGACATCACGTCTCCAGGGCGGACAGTCAAACCCTCCGTTGGTGATGAGGGAGCCAACAGTAGACCAACAATACGCCGCGCAGTTGGTGTTTATACGTGTTCGTGTCGTTCACAAGTATCCCTTTGTCTCTCAGTCAAAGGCCATCTCTCTCCAGGCCATCTCCAGATGTCCGCTGGCGAGGAGCCGGACTGCTGGAATCTGCCTGCGCCCCACCCAGTCAGGCTTCTCCTCAAATACAACAGCGGGCTAGATTAGGAGGAGCTAAATCAGCTAATTACTGGCAAACAGGTTTCCTTACTGTCGTCAGTCTCCAGAATGACCGCTGAGACGTTCAAAAATGATTGGATTGAGCGTGAGTCTGTGTGTGTGTGTGGGTGTGTGTGTGTGTGTGTGTGTGTGGCTTTTACTTCCATCTGTTTCTTTGGGATCATAAATTGTTGCGTTTTCTCGCCCAGCTGCTGGAAACACAAAGGGGAAAAGGATTTTTGTGCGCATTAACTTTAGCTTGTCAGTGTTTTTTCCTGAGATTTTAGTGGGGTTTTACACATTGGTTGCTAAAGGATGTGACTCATTTTTACAGTTTGACATTTATATCTCAGCATATTTTAATGGGGTTTTACATGATTTAATTACGAAAGTTTCCATCCACGTCGGAAGTGGATGGAGACGGACAAAGATTTGGTAATGTGAGGAGTCCTATTGTTCAGCCATGTATCGTTTTCTTTCCGCTTTGCAGCTAACAGTAAAACAGTAAATTCAGCAAGAGCTGGCTAAAACGAATTAGTTCATGTTCATTGTTCAGCAGGTAAACAGTTCACAACTCCAACCTGACTAGATCTCATTCAGTTATCAGTTTGTCGGAAATAATAATGATAATAATGTAAAAACACATCAAAACTGCTCTAATATACAAAGGGTGTAGGGCAGATTCAAGTCCTCACGATGTTGAACTTTTTCACTGCTGCTCGCACAAGTTCAAGATCATTCATCTTGATGGAAGATGCTGGAGGTCTTCCTAATGGAAATATTTCCAGTTTGCCCCTAAAAAACCGCAGAAATCTTTTCAGCTGCAAATTAAACACTGTTAAATGATGTGATCAGCTGCACTCCCAAGGATTCGAGTACGGAAAAAAAACAACTGTTGTTCAGCTTGATGTTCTCAAAAATGACAGCAACTGTCATGCCAGCCTTTGTTTCAATGTGTTCACTGCTTTGTGTGAAAGTAATTCAAGCTCGTGGTCACAACATGACAAACTGGAGAAGAACGAGGGGTGTCAACACTTTTGCAAGAAAGCGTCGTCCTCGCACAAATTTTGTGTGTGTAGCTTCCAGTTTTCTCCATCATTTCTCTGACCTCAAACAGGAGGGCGGATTGCTTCTAGTTTATGACCGAACACAAACACGGGGCCGCAAAAAATTCAGGGAATTTCTGCTCAGAGGCACGACGGGAACACGCTTTGAGCTGAAAACGTCCACAAACGCAGCCCGCCGTCGCGCAGACGCACACGACAGTGCGAAGACATTTGGCACTCGCAGACGGAGCCGCGCGGCCCGTTTCCTGTTGGACGTCGTCCACGTGGGACCCCGGTGCAAGGGGATCCGCGGGTCAAAAAGTTTGTTTTCCCGGATTTACCGCTTGATATCTATTCATGAAAAGAGGAGGGAGGCAGGGAGGAAGAGGCTCAGAAATCGGGGGAGATGCAGAGGAATCCCTCAGCGAGGTTCCTTTGATGTGGAAAACAAAAATCTCCTTTTTTTTAATCGGACCTCTAATGGGACACACATGAGCACCGTCCTGACCTCAGCTACTCTGGCTTCGTTTCTTCTCTCTCTCTCTCTCTTTCTCTGTGTGTGTGTCTATGTATTTGCAGGAGCACACACACATACGGATCGATCGAGAGAGAGAGAGAGAAAAGGAGAGATAACATGCAGTCGATTAAACCATCACGGGAGGGAAATTGGACAAAGAAAATATTAGTAATCGCTCCATGCTGTTGCTCACTTGCTCTCTCCCTCAGAAGTACTCGTACCTAGCAGCGCCTCGAGGCAGCGCAGCTGTTCATTCGCACCAACTTTGCGCCGCCGGCCTGAACTGATGGGGGCAGGACGGAAAAGAAAGAGACAGCCTCCACATCATCCTGAGTTCAAACTCCAAACACAAACATCAGGTGGTTTCACTCAGTAGCCGGTTGCAGATGGGGAGGTTGGCTCAGTTATAAGAGAGGTCAAACACGCCAAGTAGTTAGAAAAATATGTCTGCTCTCGTTAGTTTTTTTTTTTTTTACATGAACTATGATCACCCTACTTGTGTTCAGATATGTTACAGAATTACACACTTGTTAAAATGGGAGTGACTTAAATTAAGACCTTGGCTTTTTTAACATCTAATGCAACTTTACACACAAACTTGTTGGCAGCCCTCAGTTAAAACCCCACAAAGGTCTCGGCAATAAATCTGAGAAAGGTGATGATGAATAAAAATTCAATGAAAATGAACAAATGAAAGTCAGACATTGCTTTTCAAACATTGCTTTTCAAACATACTTCTACAGGATTACTTTTTAAAAAAAATAAACTCACTAAATGAAGGTTGCTCAACCTTTTGGGGCAATCGCTGCAATAAGCTCCTCCATTGACCCAGGAGTTCAGACGATTTGGTCCACGTGTGTAAATTTGACACGGTTTAACTGGAAAAACAAAACTATTAGGAAATACCTATATGAAATATAAAAAGCTACAATAACTTGGTTATGTAGGTCGAGGCTTCTTTTGTTACGTAACTCATGGAACCGGCTCACGGCTATGCAACAACATAACCATTTTAATAAAAACTGTGACTTTGGAGTCGTTTTGATACTTAAGCCAAATATCCCAGCTGTACCTGAATGCGACATGAGGACCTGTTGGGAAAACCTTCAGTTGGAGCTACAGGGTGCTGGATCTGGTCTTCAGCTGGTTTTTCTCCAGTATCTGTGATGTTTAGCCTGAATTGCTTTGCTCCACTTTTCTTTCTCTATCGTCACTGAAGTAGATGTATTAAAAAAAAAGTTTTAACATTACCAAATACCAGAGGTTAGAGATAGTTGGGAGTCATCCTTTAGTTATGTTTTGTTGTCATTTTTAAAAGTTGCACAATGGGCCGCAGACTTATCCACTTTAAAACAATGCCGTACTTGTTTGGCGTGCATGCATGTTGTAATAAAAAGCTTTGGCATTAACTTGTATTCTCTTACTATGAGACTATGCAATGCTCAGAGAAATGGCAAAAACCAGAGAGATTCAACTCATCCCCAGTCAGCATTGTAAATATGTAGGAGTTAAAATGACTAAACTCGTCTGACTTGTTTGACAAAGATCTGAAAGGATCAATTTAAAGGATTTGGCCAAATTTTTGCAAGGAAGTTTTTCTTTTTTCTTTTTTTTTTTTTTTAATTATTACTAAAAGTTCATGTAGAACTTGCAGAGAGATGTTGTTTCACGATAAGCTTGTAGATGAGTGAATAATTCTTCCCACCGAGAACGAGGCAGACCAACAGACAGGCAGGCTTTCCAACTTCAGCTGATTTAAAGATATTTAAAACAGCTCCATCTAAAAATGTTTGCGTTTTGGATTCAACTCTTAATAGCGGATATTAGGAGATCATTTCACTCGAGACATTCGTAAAGTCAGACCGTTTTCTCAGCTGAGCTCTTTATCAGCGTTCCTGTGAGAAGTGTAGATAGTTGGCTCGGCAGGTTGCATCAATCTGACCACCAGCAGCGTCTGCCTGCTCTGAGTCTGCCTGGAGTTTGACTTGTTTTGAGTTGCTAAAGTCGCCTCACACTTGGGTCTCTGTCTATTCACGTTTGTGAATCTCCAGGGCAATGAAGATCCACAACAATGAATTTTTTGCGGTTCCAGGCTTTTATCCTTGTGCCTTTTCCTGCCTAATGCCATAATACCATGATGCTTGCAGACCCTCCTTTGGAAAATGTGGTTACTTTAGTATTAAATGAGAAAATAATATACAGAGGCATCAGTAGGATGTGTTTATGTCAGCTGAAAAAGCCGTGTTCTGTGTCTATTGAATCTATATAAGTTCCATTTTCTTGTTACGAGTTTCTTATTTAAGTTCACCTTTGGGTCATATTTGTTTTCATGAACCGAGTTGTGCCTGTATGGCAATCTCGCAACTTCTCCGACTCCAATATAAATCTCTCTTCTTGCTGCGAAGAGGAACACGGAAATTATCTAAAATCCGTTTTTTAAACCCGATGTTTCTGGACGTCAGACCCGACCAAGGTTCACAATGTGGTTTCAATATTTCTCCTATCTCTTCTAACAACAGTTCTCTCTCTCTCTCTCTCTCTCTCTCTCCCCTTCTTTGTCCCTCTTTCAATCTTTCTTGCCCTCTAATCCTCGTATTTTATCTCCAACCTCTCCTTTCCTTCTTGCTTTCTTCCAGACGCTGTGGTCGAAGAGGCAAGGTCACACGCTCCACTCTTGGCAATCAGCGGTGTGCGGAGCTTTTGCAGGTGCAGAGGATTATATGGAGCTTTGGGAACCAAGCAGAAGGGGCTCTGTGATGGGGGGACATGGGAGAAAGGAGTAGATAAGTCGACGGTGGACAGTCTAATAAAGAAAGGCCAGCAGAGAGATCCAGGTTTCTACAGAGCCACCTGCTCAGCAGATCTGTGATATAAAGGAGCGAGGAGAGAATCGGACTGAACTTGATCCGTCTTTTTGCTGTAGCTTGTTTAAAAAAAAAAAAAACTTCCAGGGACCCCGCATTGTTTTCTCAGAGGGGTCACATTATCACAGCTCTCCAGAGCCAGTGGACATCACACCACGGCAGACTTTATGAGTCTGTCTCCGCCTGAATGAGTATCAGGGGAAACGCAGACAACCGGAGGGATGAGAGGGGGGCCGGGTCTGGATCTGCGCCCCGGCAGCTGCGCGACCTTCGGAGCACTGGAGCCTGAAGTGGTTTCAGGAAGGAAAGGAGAGAAAGGGAGAGGGAGGGGAGGGGAGGAAAGAAGCAGAAAAGGAGTGGAAGACGGTTCGCTAAAAATAGAATGCGTAAGCAAAGAGTAACCAAGTCAAAGAGTTCAAATAAAACATTTACGCCTTCCCGCACAAAAGAAGAGCAACAGATAAAAACTGAAGTCTCAGGTAAAACGGTTTCCTTTTCCTGTTTTCTAATCAGGAAGCTCCAAACTCAGAGATACGGGTCAAAACGGGATATAGACTGTCTTATTTTTGCAAACTCCACAGATTGTCACAGATGCTAAATTGAGTGGAACGTAATTATGCAGAAAGACGACGGAATCTCTCAGGACTTTTCAGTGAATCTGGAGTGATTCACTAAATTTGCCTCAGATCAAAAGTAATGGAAAGATCTGGATGGCAGCGCCCCGCGTTGATTGATGAACCTTGGCCAGAACATTTTGCATGGGCTCAGTTTTTGGAATAAGTGTCACTGACCAGCTGACTTTGGGTTTATCTGTTCAGGATCATTAGAATTTCTTCCTAGGATCACTTTATCTGAACCTGTGCATTTCCACGGCACTGTTCAAGATAAAAAACTGTTGTTGCTGGTAGTTTTGAGAGACTGTAATGGCAAAAGAAAATAGAAATCCCATGTAGATGGGATGGTTTGGCAGCCATCCCGTGACATCACTGGGAAGTTTCAAGAAGTCAGCCAAGATGTTGTGAAGAATAATAACAACATAAATGTGGCTAATATAATCAGCGGTGACTAATTTGATTACTTTAGCAACATTTTCAATGTTTCGAGTGAGAAACGCTCCACTCAATAGAGCTTCAGGCAGCAACAAAAGGTTTAGGGGTTGAATAAAGTGCAAATAAGCGATTACATTACTCTGACCTAAGAAATCCACAGAGTGAGTGAAACATAGCAGCGTAGCGTAAGCCTCCAGGACTTGAGCTCTGACTGAAAAAATGTGTCACACCATCCGTCATTGCTCCCAGTCAACACTTTCTACCATGACAAAAACCTAAAACCCACGACGTAAATCCACATTTCACGACCGGGACCGTCCAACGAGCCGTTGTCGAACATTTATGCCTTTCAGTCCATAACTCTTCCTCGGCTGGACCGAGCCAGACAGGACGGGAAGATTGAGGTTAGCCGCTTGAGGGACGACACCGAGGTGGAGGTGAAGGAGAGGAAGAGACAGTTACGGGAGGACACGGCACCCAGAGGAGCCGAGGCTCGGTGCCGCACCGCCCCGCCTGGAAACGGCACTCAGGGAGAGGAAGCGTCAGAGTGATGAAACGAGACTTTGGTCTGCTGGAGGAGACTTGGTTACGTTTGAACATCTGGGAGCTTAAATATCGGCAATGTTCAGAATTTAAAAGGTTGAGGTGTGATGAAAGAGAGGCAATAGGGATGGTGTTCATGTCTTTATCGTACACTCTGACATCGAAGACGACCATCAATCGGACTGATTGATGGTCCATCAATCAGTCCATCTACAGATGGATAGACGGACCTATCCATCTGTCTGTCTGCCCGTCTGTGTCCTCGATATGTTTCAGATCTCCTCCTATCAGGCAATTGCCAGAAAACCTCCAAAGGGATCAACGCAGAGCGGCTGATCCTACCTTCTCGGTTAAATAGTAGACAGACTGATAAATCTAAAGCTTCGGTTTTTGACTCGACTCTTTCTTCATCACAACAAACCAGTCAGTCCCACAAAACTGCAGACTGCAGATTTTTCCTATCCATCCTATCATCACTTGTTAACAACTCACCAAGACGTTTAAATCTCTCAACTTGAGGCAGAGGCTGTCCTCCCGTTCAGAGGGATTACTCCACCGTGTTGCCGTTGGGAACTATGGCATCAGAGGAGCTAACTCTCCTCCCGACAGCTTCACGCTCGGTTCTGAACCGGTCCGGTTCCCTCCCCCACACCCCGTAACTTGTCATGATATAAAGACGCCAACACAACTACGTCATCTGCAAAACATCAAAAATCAGGCCTTAAGCTTCCCTCTCTGCTCCACGGCTACACCTTGAGATCCTGCCCACTACAAACTCTCTTTCGCTCATCTGTAATCTCCCTGCCTTTTGAAATACTCAGAGGCATTTTAAATCATCCACAAGATCTCCGCTTGTATCCTCCTCTGACTTATGACAGACTTGAACTCGGTTTCCTCTCTGCATCCTCGTGAAAACTGACCGAGAAAAAGAATGAGGTCATCGACTGATTTCTTTCCAGCCTTCAACCCCATCGTGGGATTTTTTTTACTATCTAGCCAAATTTAGATCATCTAATAAAGCTCTCCACATTGAAGATTTATTTGCTTAATGCGTTCTTTGACCGTTTTCCAAAAAATATCATAAAAGATGTTACAGTAAGTCTTCTTTATTTCCGTGTTTATCCAAGCGAGACAGAGAAGTGAAAAACCTCAACCTCGCGATGGAGCTCCTGTTTTACGCACGCCATGCCTTGAAAAGCATTTGCTGTTCAAGGCCTTGAACCTTTGCAGATTTTGACACATTACAAAAAAATAAATAAAGGACATTTCAAAGTAAAATGGATGAAGTTTCTACCAGCTTTACACATCTGGATATTAAAATTTCGGCCCATTTCTTGTTCTTGCTCATGCTCAGTCAGAGTGGATAGCGAATGTCTATGAAACTCAGCTGTGAAGCAATGGCACAGACTGTCGATTGGCTTTAGATCTGGTCTTTGACTGGGCCATTTTATCACCATACAAATATATTCCAGTGTATCTCTGGCTGACCTTTTTTTATTATTTATTTGTTTATTATTTTTGGAGCCTCTAAAAATATTTTACTTTGGGTTTCCTGAAGTGTGGGATATTGTTTGACAATTTGTCCACACTGCTGGACTTCTGGCTGCCATTGGTTGCACCAAGTTTGATTTAGGGGGATCAGAGTGAATGCACTGCAATTCAGGTCTTCATGCAGTGTATAGGTCTATTATATTATGCCTCAATGACATCCATCAAAGTTTGTCCTTGTGAAATGACAAAAGGAGACCCTGTAGTTTTATGCCACATTATCTACATCTTTTCCCCAAGTATTTTGTCGTTTTAAACAATCAAAACAATATAAATTGACCTCCTTTTAACCAGATGAGTACAAAACTATGTCTCTGCAGTCAGTGAGTGCAACAGCGGGAGGAAGCTGTGCTAACTTGGCTTGAAGTCGGCGTGCAGCTGCTCCGAAAAGCCGTTCTGACGGATGTTTGTGTGAGCATGTTCATACGTAGATACAAATATCATTTTTTTTGTTTTACTACGCAGGTGTGAGATCAAGTCTGCACCTGTGTGCTGGAGAGTCTGCACGTGTGCGTAGCTCAGGGGAAGGATTGGGTCAGACGTTTAAGAGCAACACAAAAATCTTACCAAGTTTTTCGTTGTTGTCGTTTTTTGGTCTAGTTTCTGTTGCAAATATCTCAGTTAATAAGACAAAACTAACTTACTAGTAACTTCTCAGCAAGATATAGCAACTTGTTTTAAGTCAAAAATGTCTTAATGTTGGTAACAAAATACTAGCTTTAAGTGAAATAATCTAACGTTGGAAGAAGACATTTTAATTTGTGATATGGGGAAAATCTTGCGCCGCTGGCAGATTGTTTCACTTCTAACTCGTACTTTTTCATCAATATTAAGGAATTATTGACATAAAACAAGCATTGAATTTAAAATGAAGAATTTTTTAATTATTGAACTGTTTCAGGAAGCAGTGGTTACCAGATAACCAAAATTGTGCTCATGTCTTATTTTATCGCCTTTTCTAAATTAACAGCTCTTTACGTGTTTTTTTAATGGCTGTGACTCGTTTGATTTTTTTTATTTTTACTAGAAATGTTCACTGTAAATCACACTACTTTTAGCTATACATTGAAATCTGTTGTAATGTATGTTGTTCTGCATGTTGATTGTAATTGTTTTGAGTCCTAACAACTAATCTGCCAGGAAGCTACAGATGCAAACTATATACAGCAAATCTATGTGATGTATAAGTGCAATTCACAAAATTATATCAAAGTCATATCGTGCTGAAAAGTTACTTGTGAGTTAGCCGAGTTTTTGTCTTATTTCAATTGTATTAAGATAATCTTCTCTAGAAACTAAACCAAACATTTTGTGTTTTTGCAGTGAAGGTGATGGAAATCACAAGGTGTCTCGTTTTGTGTTTCTGTTTGAGCAACAGTAGGATGGGCTTGGATGAAGATTATTGTCTTTTTTTTATTTTTTTATGAACGTTGGAAACCAACAGGCCGAGCGTTCTGGCTCCTTTCCCCTTAAAGTGTCGGCGGTCAAGTAGATTTATTGGTTTTGTGTATTTTCAAGGTATCCGTTTGACTAAACGCGCCTGTCTTTTGTAGGCGCGGTGGCAGCCTTCGTCACCACCCCTCTCGACGTGGCGAAGACCAGGATCATGCTGGCCAAGGTACACGCTCTGCACACGCACACACGAGCTCCTCCGGCAGCTGCTTTTAAACACCGCTGTCAGGTGATGCCTCGCAGGCAGGGAGCAGAGCCACGGACTGGGCCCGCAGCCCGAGCGCATTTCTCCGGTGTCAGTGGGGGCGAGGGGGCAGAGCAAGCCGAGGTAGAACCGGGACAGCGCACATCCATCACCTGCTTGGGGGAGGCAGGAGAAGGGGGGGTGTGGATAGTATTTTGGGGGGGGAACAGAGGAGGCAGGGACATGTTTGTGTGCATGGCTAGTGTTAAGAGTGAGGACTCATTTCTGCTACGAGGGAGTTTCCATCGCGGTGCTGCATGTCATGCAGAGGTGAAGCCAAAGCAGGCTGTCCCTGCTGTTAACTCCCCCCACCCTCCTCCTCCTCCTCCTCTGTGTGGTGATATTCCTCCTCTTTCTCACTACCTTTTTCTCTTCTGGCTCCGTCCAACTGTACGTCTGGCTTCTTTCAAGGTGTCCTGCATGCGTATGTGAGCAGGACACCCCCATCTCTCTCTCTCTCACACACACACACACACACACACACACACACACACACACACGGACTGTCCTTGGAGAAGACACAGTGTTCCATTTCCACCCCCATCCCAACTAATGAGACTGGAATCAACAAAACAATTGGACAGGCTTGGATCTCTGACGAGAAGCCGTTGGCTGGAGGTGGAACTGCACGGTACAAAAGCTTCCAGTAAACTTCATCTGACAGGCAGCTGCTGTAATCTAACCACCCGCTGAGGGCTCTGCCTGCAGCACAGGTCCAGCTATAACTTTATAAGGCCAAGATTTCTTTATGTTTTTTGGGGGGGGGTTTATTTGCTCTGCAGAAAATTTTAAGCACAAGGAAGCAAAGTTTGGGACGTTTTTTGCTCATCAAGGGGAAAAAAAATATGATCACGTCCTTTTGACTGAATTCAGTAGTTACTATAAGATATATGTTTTATGATGTCAAATTACCTTCTGATGTCATTTATTAGACTATTGTTTACTAAGGAAAATGTCATGAGCTTTGATACGGCTTTTTACAAAGAGCAGGGTCCTTATGTGGTCTGGACTGGAGTTTAGATTTACGGGCCGACCCGAACCCGACCCCAAATTCTGGCTTCTGTGGCTCTTTTAATACGCCTGCAATACATACAGCACACAGAAAACCAAGTGAAAATGTGCAACATGAAGTTGATAATCTACTTATTAACTTCATGTTGATAGTTTCACTTGCTCCACTCAAGCAGCAGCAGCAGGATAGGATCCTGTCAGCCACACGTCCCAGATGATTCACACTGATTCAACCTGCCTTTACAACAAGTGACAAAATGGAGCTGGAGGACGTTGGAAAAAAAGCAGAAAATGAATTGAATTATTTTTCAACGAAAGCAATAAACTCTTTAGGTAAAATAATGGTGGGTTTAGTTGTTAGTTCTAAGTTAAAGTGAATTGGCTCTGACACAATGCCTCTGGGCTCGGGCTGAGTTGGGTTAGATATAATCTTTACTGTGGTCAAATCTGGGTAGATTTTTTTATTTAGGTTCTTCTTTTTTCTATTATTTAGAAAAAAAAAACCTTGGAAAAAAAGAAAATGTATTCTGGAAACAGACACAATGTGGCCAAAGTATTGGGTCAGCCCTCCAAATCAGTGAATTCAGTCATTCCTATCATGTCCACGGTCACACGCGTATAAATTTCAATAAGTTTGAGTCTGTCCCCCTTCTGTTCCGAAGCCATTTTGGGATCGGCCAACATCAGTGTCTGACCTCACAAATACTCTGCTGTAAGAATGTAGCAAGATTGCAAACCGGTGCACTCCATGAAGTAATTGAAGCATGGATTATTTTAAAAATGAGGTTGCACAAAGACTGTAGGCATCATTTTATAAGTCAGTTATTTGAAATTATATTTTAATAAACACAAATAAATTGAAAATGGATCTCTTATCACTTTTTACCAGCCAGCTCTTTAGATGCCAAATTACAGAATCCATTCCAAGCTCCAAATTGAAAGTGTAAATTATCATCCAGAATCTAAACACATTTTTACAACTAATACATTGCAAATTATTCTAAATTGTCTAAGTGTCGCTTCACATCATCAACGCAGGTTCAGAGCAGAGCAGAACTGGTGTGGACGGTTTGGATCGGACAAACCGCAGGAAGTCTGAGGGGCTGGAGCTCGGTTTCCTCACCACACCGGATAGAAAGAAAGGGTCGCGTTGTACAGTCGGCAAAACAGGCGACCATCCAGGGACCCAGCTGGATGTGCGAAAGCCTCCACAGCAGGACTCCGACTGCCTGCTTAGCCACAGCGCTGCTGCAGGGACCTGTGTGTGTGTGTGTGTGTGTGTGTGTGTGTGTGTGTGTGTGTGTGTGTGTGTGTGTGTGTGTGTGTGTGGACGCCCTGTTCCTTCATTCCCTCTTTCCATCGTTCCATAGCCATAAAGGAAAAGAAAACTTGTCGGGGGGGAGAGCAATTTCTCAGCAACCTGTCTCCAACAGAAACACGGGGAGACTGGGTGTTTTTCCTCTTCACGTGGAGGAGAGAAGGTCCTGCTATCAATGTAACAGATCACATTTTATAGACAAACCTTTATTCCATTATGCTCTTTCTTTTGTTCTATTTTACTTTCTTTATTTAAAATAGACAATGTGCATTATTTAACAAGTGCAACAGAGGCTGATATCCATCTTGGCAGGTTGATGGTACAAGACAAGATCACAACATCAAATCACGATGCGTCAAATCACAAAATTATGAAGACTGTGATTCCTAATTTTTCCAACTGAAATGTGGAAGAACTAAAATCAAAATCACTAATACACGAGCGAAGAACAGAGGACCAAATATAGAACCCTGAGGTACTCCAACAGTACCAGCAACCACTTTAGAAAATCGTCAATCTGTATGAAAAGGTGATTTTTGTTCAATACTCCGGTATGATTTCATCAATCGTTTTATCTTTGACATTTGGCCTCTTTGTCGTTCCTCTTCTTTAACCTCCTGCTGTTCCACTCAGTCGGCTGCAGTGATGGATGAAGAAAACTCTCTGCTCGGCTCGTCTGCAGAGCGTAAATAACAGCAGCAGGTTGATGGATGTTGGGGAGGACCAGGAGAACTTGAGTGTTTTTCTTTTTTTTTCCCCTCCCTTTTTGGACGGGTCCAGTGGTGGTTGCTGGAGGTGACACCTGTGCTGACACAGCTGTCCCAGTCCAGAAAACGTTGTAGGGGAGAGGCGAAGGAGGGAGGCAGCTGAAGGAATCTCCGCCAAGGCAGAGCAAACCGAGTGCCTGTCCGAGGAGCAGGAAGGGAGCGAGGCAATCCATCCGTCATCACACCTCTATTTGCTCTCTGTCCTCCTGCAGGCGGGCTCAGCCACGGCGGGCGGCAACATCCCGATGGTGCTCTGCGACGTGTGGAGGAGCAAAGGCTTTCCAGGGTGAGGATGTCTCTCTTCAGTCTGCTGAAAACGTGATCGACTTGTCAAACAAACAAAGAAAGCGGTTTCATCCTCAGGAAACCTCCAGTTTTTTTGTTTTTTTTTTACGTGACTCCGTTCAGCTGCCCCTCCTCCGCCTCCCCGGCACACAATGGAGCGCGTCCACACAAGAGAGCGGTGTCCCCGGGGGGACCGGATGGACGGGGGCGGATTTACGGCGGCGGCTGAAAAATGAGATGCATAAAAGCTTTTTGCTGCAGACTCACTCTATCGTCCTATTGATTAAGGTGTTAGAAGGGCCAAGTGGACGGGTTTATTTGAGTGTTTTGATGTGTTTATGATACGCGCCGGACAAAAGGGGCCAGGTCTAATGGGGCCTCAGAGGGCCGCCTGTGCTAAAACAAACCCTCAGCTGTGGTGAATAATGGGCCACTTGTGTACAAGCCACCATCAGTTAGTCGGGATGCGTCTCAGCTTAATGCTCACAGCGTTTGGGTCCGCCCCCCCCCCCTTTGTCTCTGTCACACACACACACACACACACACACACACACACACACACACACACACACATTTGTACTGTACCTTCCAGACAGAACTATTCATACAAAATTTGTTCCCCCCCACACACATTTTTTCACGTTATGATAAAATCTGAAAGGTGTGGCACACATTTGGAGCCGGCCGTCTTTACTTTGATGCCCCTAAATAAAATTCAGATCAACCACCTGCTTTCACAAGCCAGCTGTTATTTTTTATTTTTTTCATTCGTTTGCATTTTAAAATGAACAAGCGTTTTGAATGGAAAAAAGTAGTTGGAAGAAAAAAATCTTACTTTGCCTACACCTACTCTCAAAAGTCAATTCGCTATACCATAAGCAACTGTAAGTGTCAGTCAAATGTGCTAGAAGGTCTCTAGCATGTGCGAGAATGGCCTAGTCAAAGTTCAGAGCTAAATCCAATTAAGAATTCGTGGTAAGACGAGTGTTTACACGCACTCTTCATCTGGTCTGTGCTGAGTTTGAGCTATTCCAGACGGTTTTTTTGTGTTCAATACCAACTGAAATACAAGTATTTCAGTTGGTGGAAACATAAACCAAAAGACTTGCAAATGTAATTGTTGTGAAAGGTTTTTCATCTGACAATTCTTTTGTGAGATCAAACAAAAAAAATTGTGGAGGTTTGTGGTTGTAACAGGAGCAGTCCTCTCTACCGTTTAGCTTCTTTATGTTGCAGTGGCTCATTTATCTGAAACCTAGTTTTGTTTAAAAAGAAGTTTTTGTTTTCGTGAGCAGCAAGGACGCTGTCAAACGTCAGCAGTAGCCTCAGTTTGGCTGCTCCACTCCACTCGGAGATGTTTGGAGTTGTTCTTCCCTTCCTGTCTTCTCTCTAACCTTATCCAACTCGTCCTGGTCTTCGCCATACCTGTGGAACATACATGTGTATGACGCTCCACAACACGCCAAACACATGCTTTGTTTCTCAATGTAAGTCCTTAGAAGGCAGTCGGACGCATCCGATGGAATGCTGTAACAAAGGTGTGTGTGTGTGTGTGTGTGTGCGTGTGTGTGTGCGTGTGTGTGTGTGTGTGTGTGTGTGTGTGTGTGTGTGTGTGTGTGTGTGTGTGTGTGTGTGTGTGTGTGTGTGTGTGTGTGTGTGTGTGTGTGTGTGTGTGTGTGAAGTATAAGGTTAGAAGCTGTTGTTCTCCAGGGCCAAAGGCCTGCTTGTTGCACCGGTGCATGCCTGATACAAATTGCTGGGGCTTTAAAGCTGTAATTATGGTAATGGGCCCAATTGCAGTGTAGTGAAGCTCTAAAGTGCTTCCATGTGTGCGCTAAACCCCAGAGACCCTGACTTAGCAGGGAGCGCTGCAGCCTACCTCCCCCTCCCCCGCCCTCCTTAAGCCTCCAACAGTAACCTGCAAAATACCCACGCTGCACCGGGAGTCAAGTCAGGACTACAGACTAATGGCCGGCACGACCTGAAGCGTTTTCAGATTCACTGCTTATGCAAAACGTAGGGGAGGATATGCAAACGCAGCGAAGCCACCGCACACGGCCTCCTGGAGATGCCGAGCTCTAATTGTACCTTTTCTTCTTTTTTTGTGTGTGTGTACTTTTTTTTCCCCGATTAAGGTTTTAGGTTTTTATTCAGGAAGCCTTTTTTTCTGATTTAAAGGCTGGAGCTTTTCAGAGCAGAGCAGCTAAAAGTCAATGAAATCCGGGTTGGTTTTTTTTTTGTTTGTGTTTTGTTTTTGTCTAATATTTTCTGCATCAACTAACTAAATTTAAAAAGTCATGTCAACACATACTGGTAGGTCAGGAGCCTGGTGTACTTTGCTGGAATGTTCTGAAATCCAAAAACATTTTTTTCCGCCTGTTTTGTACCTCGTACTGAGCCAGGTGGTTAATCCTTTTTGGTTTGTGAGACTGTTAAAAAAAAAAAAAAAACCTTTGCAAGTTAGTTGTTGCGATTCGGCCGTGTTTCTCTTTACAATCTTTTGTTTGGCCCAACAGGCAGCTAATTTAGATCAAAAAGGACACGGATGGAAGGTTAAGTGGAAGGAAAAACACGCAGTAGTCAGTGTTTGTTCATTTGTTGTTCCTCTGTTTTATTTACTTGCTGGCCAATGAGGCTTTTCTCGCTGACGTTGTCTTCCAGCTGTAAAGTCCCTGCGTTTGGCACTTATCGCTTGCTGTAGTTGTGACTTTAATTCATTGATGAGCTTGAAACTGTTCTCTCCATTAAAGAACGCGGAGCTATAGCTAAATTTAGTGTTTCATTAAAAAAAAAATCAAAAACATCTGTTCAAACGTAGAAGCGTGTTAGCCGCTGCATAACTGATTGTTTCTGGATTTATTTAAAAAGTGAAAATGTGCATCACAAACTATGCCAGGGTTAGCCATAAAGGCTATTTTTCATCTTTTTCATCTAGAAAACGTATTGCACACTGAGCGATGAATAGAAATGCAATATGTTGCAGGGCAATTGAGACAAATTAAGAAGCTTCTTCTATCAAAAAAGGGAAAAATAAATAAAAAGCATTTTTACCAGGTTACAAATTTAAAAGGAATAAATCTGTGACCTGTTCAATACAAGCAACATATAAAAAAACAGAATGAAAATAAGAATCGTGTGATCCGGTTCTGCACACTTAAATTAATGAAAAAGAAAAACAACATCTGCTGACGTCCTGCCGTCTGATTAATCTTGAGAAAAACGCAGAACATAGAAAATAGTCCCACTTTCAAACATCATTCCAACTGCAAAGCACGGCAGTGGTGGTATCAGAACGCGGGACGACACGGATCAGTTTTACACGCATACTTAAAAAAAAAATCACGAAAGCAGAACCAAACGGTTCCACCAGCGCCAAGTCATTTTCTCTGAGCACACCTCTGTTCTCGCACACACACACACACACACACACACACACACACACACACCACACACACACACACACACACACACACACACACACACACACACACACACACACACTCGTCTATGAGCTATTTCTGACCCCGACTCCTCAGGGAGAGGTGATTGGCCGGCGGGATGCGTCGGAGGGGGAAATGCTCAGCGGGGAATGTCTGAGTCCTGGCCCGGCTCTGACGTCGCCCGGCGGTCCACACAGGTGGGCCTGATCCCAGACAGGAAATGGAACTCGGGCGGAGAGCTGAGACGAAACAACAGCTTGGCGTTCAAAAGCAGCTCTCTCCTCGCGCTGCTGCTGGGCGTTCCAGTGATCCAGATGACTAAGTGGAAACTTTTGAGAACTTCATTTCTTAAAGTGTGACTCACTTTGAGAAAACAAACAAAAATTGTTGGATATTGTTCCGTAATTGGTGTTTAGTGCTCCCTCTGGTTGCGACTGCAGCCCCAGAAGAGGCCAAATAGCAACAGTAAGGCAAGTCACGTTTAGGTGGTTTGAAAAATGGGAATGCAATGAGTGTGAACAGGTTTTTTTTTGTTGTTTTTTTAAGACTTCCAGCACATTAGCTGATCATTTTAATGCCAAAATGAGGTACAAAAAACAGCGTCGGTGACACGGGAGGTTTTACAGCGTCGAGCTTTGGCCGCATCTTGCTCTTTTTGGTGCCAGATGTGGTTATATTTGGAGAAAAGGCGGAGGCTGCAGAGGGATACTTGAAACCCAATTTGGTTTCAAAAAAGGGAAGGCAAAAACATCTGAAATATGAAAGTATTTTCAGAAGACCACCCACGCTCCGTCGAGAAGGAGTCCATCGAGCTAATGGCATGGCGGTGACTCAAAGAAACATATTTGGCTTTTCAAAAGAAAACACGTCTTAATGAAGGTCTATTTACGTGATGAAGTAGGACGGGCGAAAAATGTGAAACGAATGCCAACGTCGTTAAAATAAACCGTCTGAGAACAACAAAATTTAATGTGAGCGTTGAGGATTCCTGTTTTGTTTTTTTTGTTTTTTTTTACTTTGTTGGAAAAAAAAAGTGGAAACTGCTTAATGACTTTGGAGGAAAAAGGGGGCAAAAATATTCACAGTTTAACTCGATAAAAGGAATATTTTTGGCATAATGACGCGGCAGCCAAAGTATAAACGCCGACGTTCTGCGAAGATTTGTGAACAAACAGAAACACAAAGACCGAAGAACAATCCCCAAAGTCAAAGCAGGTTTTTTCTTTCTTTTTTTCTTTTTGACAAAACTGCAAAGCAACGGGATTGCACATCTTAAATACAAGGTCCGCTGTTTATCTTCGAAGCCATGATAAGGACCTCTGGTAACTCTGGAGGAGCTGTAGAGACCCAGAGCTCAGGTGCTGACGTCGCTGACGGAACACAAAACCTTTTTTGCCTGGTTTTTAGGGCAAACGTCCTAGTCTGCTTAAAATAAGAACGAAAAAAAAAACTAGCTTAGAAGTAACTTTTCGGTGAGATATAGAGGCTTGTTTACGTCAATGATTAACACCGATTCAAAAGAAAAACCCACTTGGTGGAAAAATAGCTCAAAAACTACTCATTGTTTTGCCATAGCAGCTGACGGCAACGCAACTTGCGTCCGGATTCGGCACCAAAACACTCAAACAATGAGCCACATAGAACAGAACATTCAGTTACGGTTTTATGTTTTCATGCTCGGTGTGCATTTTGCTCTCATGGACGCTGTGGTAGAGGAGCTGATTTAAACACCTGCTTCACTGATCTGTCGGTTTGCGTTCAGGTCGCCCTTTTTATTTCTAAGCTGCACCAAAACACCACAGCACATCTATTTGTTCAGTTTGTCAAAGTCCAGCACAACTTTCCCTCTCTCTGGGGGCGAAACAAGGAGTCCAGTTTAAAATGATATTGGAGCTCGTTTAAGAATATCGTGATACATATCACGTATCGTGATATTATAGCACAAATATATCTAGACGTTAGATTTTCCTCATGTCCCCCAGCCCTAGCTGGAAGTAGCAGCCTATATTTTGTTTGTTTGTTTAATGTTAAAATATGAAGCTTCCATATTTTGACAAAAAAGTTATTTTTAATTTAGTTTCTGATAAGATTTTGTGCTTTTTGATTCAACATGATCAGTTATGTTTTCTGAAAGAAAAAAACCAAACAGTTGACGTCATTCTAAAATAGTTCACATCACACATTTTATTTCTGGTTCAGGTTTTTTTTTTAAAAAAAAAGGAGAATAAAAAAGTAATCGCTCAGGTCAAATCTCGCCATATTTCTGGCTTTGAGAGTCGACGAAAAGCGAAGTCTGTTATTGCAGCGATTCAGAGGTGATTTTGCAAAAATGAAAACAGACCCGAAACATAAGGACTAACACTCCCACGCAAATGATAAACGCAGACAGGCTTTTTATTTATTTTTTATTTTTTATGTGCGGCTGTCAGTTTTTGTTCCTCCTCCTCCCCCCTTGCGCCTGCGAGCCGAGCTCAACGCGCAAGGCAGCCGTCATCCGTAACATCTGGCCCGGGCCGGGGCCAGGCCATGTGAGCGCGGGGGCGTATTGGCAGACGGAAGGTGTCGGTAGGCAAATGCTCGGAGAGAAGAGGAGGGAGAGCGCAGGAACAAAAAAAAAGCGGGGAGAGACAACGCGAGCATGTGTCGAAGAGGTGGATGACGCAGCAGAAACGAGGAGCGGCAGAGAAATCCCGTATGAGTGAGCCAGCTCTGAGGGGAAAGGGGAGGAAGGGCCGGGGTGAGGAAGGGCGTCGGACGGATGGACGGCACACCGACATGTGTGGATGTCATCTGGCCGTTTGTGGAGCAGCAGAGAAAGTGAGAGGAAAGGGGGAAGAAAAAAAAAACTGAGGGATGAGAGTTGCAGCGAGGAACAAAGGTGGGGGGGCTCAAAGCCTGATTCCAAAAGCAGCTGTGTGTGTCAGGAGGAGAGTGGGAGGCTCGGTTCTTGGGATATGGGCGCTCACTCATGGCCCGTAACATCCTCTGACCTCCATAACGTCAACAGCGACTCGTTGGGCCCCCAAGTCAGACCTTAAAAAAAGGAGAAGAAGAAGAAGAATGAGGAAAAAAAAACCCAAAGCTTTATGCCTGACCATTTCCCAGCACCTGAACACCAGAAAGCCGTAAATCAGTCCGGTTCTGCCAAATGTTGAAGCTAAACACGCTGAAACTGTCTGCTAAAAGTTCTTTTGTGGAACTGCTTGTGCTTATAATCGACATGTTTAATGTGGCGCTGTTTGCTCATCCTGTCGTCGTTCATTAAGTTTGGATCGGGATTATATGCCAATTTTTATGAAAGCATAACCATGTCCTCTGACTCACACTTGTTAAACCCAAAAAAAATGTTGCACACTAATATTTAGTTGCACCACCGTCAGCTGTGACACGTCACATGCTCTCTGTGGTATTGGGTCTGATGTCACTCGCCCAGTGTGACGTCGCCTCCGCTCCTAACAACGATAACCAGCGACCGCTCTCAGCGAGCTTCGAATGTCGTTTTGAACTTCGCTCGTCCACTTCCTGTTTTCGAGAAATCAGAATCGAGTCAAATTCGTATCGCCAGGTTGATTCTGATCGCCGAATCTTTTAAAAACATTTTGTTTGCGTCGAACCGGTTCGAAAAGGAAACGCAGTTAAAAACGTCGCAACGGATAAACGAATGAGGAAAACGAGAACAAGTGTAATCCACAAATCCACCGCACTTTTATTGTTTCTATCAGTTGGGAGTTTGTTGCAGATTTTCCTCAAAAATTGTCAAAAACTTTCTCACTTGTGCGAAGCAGCTGCCTCGGTCTTCACTGATGTCAGGTTACAGTCCGTGTTCAAAAAGTCACACCATCATAAATATTTCCAAATTCGTCCCACAGTCACATTGTTTAATTTTAAGAATCCACTGATGTTTTAACGATTTGTGACCAGGTTTATTTTTATCAATGCATTCTGGCACAACCGGCCCTTTAAGAGCAGTCGTGATCCTGACTTGGCCCCAGGACCAAAAGTGAGTTTGACACCCCCGTGTTGGGGGTTCCTCAGGGAACAGAGAGCGAAAAGCCTCAGCTGTGTCCGTTTCTTGACTTCTTCTCCAGAGAAGGTGACGCCTCATGATCTCCGTGTGTTTCCCCCGCAGGCTGTTTGCAGGCAGCGTCCCGAGGACGGCCTTCATCAGCGCGGGAGGCTTCATCTTCCTGGGAGCGTACGAAAAGGTCCGCCACACGTTACTATAGCGGGGCTTCAGGGCGCGACCTCCCACCCCACGGCGGACCCTCGCAGCTTGGGGAACGCTACCAGCTCGGTTCCTGGTCCGTGTTCTCCAGGACGCTGCATTCCTGGTGGATAACGTGGAAAAGACATTAGCAGTATTTATCATTCCGTCCCGTCATTTTGGAATGGATTTTGGAATTAAAGACTCTCTTTTATACTTCTTGTGATATTTCACCCTCCAGACTCCGGTCCTGCAAGCGTTTAATGTCCGTTTGTTTAATGTTTTATCCATACTTTTCGTCCCTCTGTTGAGCTCAGCCACCTGCGCCAGAGACCCACCCGGGAGACGCAGCGTTATGTCACTGTGGTTACATTCCGACTAGAGCAAAGCTGACCTCATCCCCACCTACGATGAGCGCCGTCCTTCCCCCTGAGACGCCGCCAACAATGGAGCACTTTGTTGAGTTAACAAGCCTGTGGGGTCGATCCGGAGGCTCGGCCGCTCCACAAGAGATCCTTCATTACAGCTGGAGGTCTTACCTGTCGTGACTTTATTGTGTCTCTTTCCTGAGACAGGTGGGAGACACGGAAGGAGCTGAATGTGTTCATTTTACTGGGTTTAGTTGGTGGAAAATGCAGGATGTCCTCTGAAAGTCTGTTTTAAACAGATATGGGCGTATTAGCATTTAGCATCAAATTTGAGCAAGAAATCAACTGCAGCATGACCAGACCATGAGTCACACCCACAATGCATCAGTTCGTACCTGCTGTTGTGCACGACGTGCGGTGCGTTCTTTCATTGCCGATGTTCTTTCGTTTCTGCAGATCAGATGGCGATGTTTCGCTTCACGATCTGCAGATCAGATCGTGAAGCAAAGTCCTTTAAAGTCCTATTTAAGTCTTTTTTTTTTTTTTTGGATTTGTTGATCAAAAAGATCAACCGGTCACAGACAGATGGGCCTGTCTGTGTTTTCTCAGTCAAATCGTCTTTGCTAATATTTGTTTGACAATCTGAAAGGAGGCGAACACTTTCCCACGATGCCATATCTCTGCGTCGATATGGCAACGCGTCTGCGTTGTGAGCTTGGTACCTGGCTCTGATTCAGATGCTGGGATCCACAACTTTTTCTTGTGGTTCCCATTCGGGAACCACAAGGTTTAAAACGAATTAAGATCAAACGTCTCGTTTTATGTCAGAATAAGAAGAAAAGATTGAATGTTTATCGTTTAGTAAATGGAAATTATTTTGATCATCCTACTGGAGAGATTTAACCTCTATGTCCCTGCTGCCAAGCAACAGTAGTCGGTGTGTGATTGTTGGAGGCCTGGTGGTGGAGGCCTGGTGGTTGGAGGTCTGGTGGTGGAGGCCTGGTGGTTGGAGGTCTGGTGGTTGGAGGTCTGGTGGTGGAGGCCTGGTCAGTCATCCATCTGGAATGTCCATCCTGAGCCTGCAGTCAAAAGCAGAAACTTCCAACGGGCCGCGGCGAGGACGGGGCACCGGAAAAAAAAAAACCCAAACACAATGCCTGCTGTCTTTGGAGCGGCGAGGAGCCAGGAGATATTTCCTGCTGGAGGTTCAGCGAGCGCAAAGTTTGAACTGATGACTTCTCCATCAGAGGAGATGAGGACGCCAAACGCCAACTCAGCTCTTAACATCGCCACGAAACAGGAACAAAAAAAACGACAAACAGGCACAACATCTGTCATCATAGCAAAATGTGATTTTTATTAGACACTTCAATGCCATGTTAGACACTTCACTGTTTTATTTTTATTATTTAGCTTTGACATTGGTACAGACGCTTTGCTTCAATAAATTAGTCTCAGAACATGAACTGCACCTCGCTCTGTCTGTCTCTGTCTGTCTCTCGTCCCTTTAGGGTGAGGGAGGGGGGAAAGTCACCTCTAGGCGTAACAGGAGGACGATGTCCTCCGCCTTACCTCTGAAACTGAAACCCAAAGAACGTGGCCCGTGGTGTGTTCAGGGACTGCGGGAGAAGGCGGTTCGAGCGCATTTTCACGAGCTTCCCGACGGTTCACAGCGTTTACCCTCAAGACGTCATGCGTGTCTGAACTGCAGCGATGGGCGTGGGCGGGATACTGGCCTTTCTGCTACAACAGCAGGTGTGGAAGATTACAGCAGTAACATCATCAAAACAAAGCCCGATTGTAGCTTTCATTGTGAATGTGCCTTATGGGCTATGAGGTTCGGGGGGCGGGGTGGACCCGACACACGGGACACGGCGGAGTCGACAGCGACAAAAACTTCAAACCTTTGGAAGGATAAATGAAAAACTTTGTCACTGGCCATGTATGTCTAGAAGCTCGAAACTGCGCAGGCGCCACAGGAAATGAATGGAGAGGGAAAGACGGCGCCTGGAGATGCACCGATACTTCAGCTGGTGACTGGAATCGGCCGGTTTTCATATTAGCCAATATTTCAAAACTGCCTTCGTTTTCACAACTAATTAACACCAGGCTGTGCTGCCAACACTCCTTGGCATGGAGGTTGATACTGACATAAGACGCAAGACTATTTATATATAAAATGTCTTAAATTCATGTCTCTAAAATTAAGGACTTAAGATTTCTGAAATTGATTTTGAAAAAATATGTTGGCTTTTAGTACGTTAATCACAGGTCCTTACAATTTGGTCTTGGGAGGACTATTTAATTTAGTATTTTATCTTCTTATTTTTACTTAACTTTTCTGTCCCATCCAGTCACACAGGCTCACGTTCTGTGAACCAAAACATACCTTGACTAGCTGGGTTATTTATCTAGAGTGGATACATCACCACTCTGTTGGACGAAGGTCGTACATTTCCATATATAGGCCTCAAATTCTACTCATAACGGTCTTGGAAACTCTAAATTTGAGTTGGTGAAACCTGCAGAAACTCTGGATTAGATGCCAGAATTTGAAATTAAACTTTTCTAAGGAGGCATTTTGACCATCAGTCTCGGTAGGAAACCGAATGGAGCTCGCCGCCTTTTGGAAATCTCAGTTTCGTTTTCGAATTCTGAAAACAAATATTGGCTCTGATCGGTGCATCTCCATTTCTATTGGGGGTCGTTTTTGGCTCTTGCGGCTTCCAGGTGATGACAAAGTTTTATTCCATTTGTCACAATGTCACTGAATTCAACTATCCTAAGAGACACATTAATCCTAGTCGGTTCGGAGCAGCTTTGTGGTAATATGTAGCATAACGACGTCAAACGGGTGGAAAAACATTCGCGCCACATGTCCTGGCGACTTTGGAAAAACCTGCTCTGCCTGGAGCAGGTTCCCCCGAACTCCTGTCGACAGACGATGTGCACGACATCTGCTTGCGAAGAGTTTAAAAAGTGCTTGAGCTGACCGCCTGCCCCACAAACGTACCGAAACGGTTTCACATCGGAGCCCTTCCTTCATACTGCAACGGCGCACAGGCGTTGTGTTTCTGTAAGGCCGTAGCCGATGGCACTTTCCTCTCCGGAAAAACTAAAAACATACCGTCAAGTGCAACCAAGTGTCTTGTTTGCGATGAAGGGTGTACCTGTATTTTTCTCAAAAGATTTCTTTGAAAATTACAAAAAAAAAAATAAATAAAAATCACAGGTTGAATCTTTGATCATGCAATAAGGCACTGCAGCTGGATGTTGGTAGAAGCTGAAAAAGGCTGTTTTTTTTTCCCTAGCAATAAAAATATCACTTCTTTCTTTGCCATGCACATATATTCAAACACTCTTTTGAAAAAGTTATATAATATATAAGAAAACTCTTATGTACAGTCAAAAGTCCCACTGTATATTTCTGTTTCCCTCCCTACTGCACATAATTACACTGTACAAGATTCCCTATGTTTGCATGCTTCAAATGCAAGTCACATTTTTTTTTTTTTTTCTCTTTTTGGCGCTAGAGTTCTTTCTTTAAACTGGTCACCTCCCAAATGAAGGTTTTAAACTATGTACAGCCAATACGCTCGGGCGGGACGCCACCCGCACAAGCTCCATCTTCAGACTCCGGACTCTCTCCCTATTGGTTCCTCCCCGGAATCGCCGTGTCGGTCCTCGGATCCGGGAGGCTCGGGATCGTTCCCCTCGATGTGAGGTAGCAGTTTATTTCCCAGTGCAAAGAAAGATATATATATTTTTTTCTTTTTCCTTAAAAAAAAAAAAGTCCACATTTTGGGGCTTGATTCAGTGTCTGCTAGTCGCTGGCTCTCCTCAGGGGGGCGCTCTCGTTCTGAGAGGCTCTGAGGGCGTGTCCGTTAGGCAGCAGAGTCTGCCTGAGCTCAGGCCCGCAGTCGGTGTCCGTGCGCGGCGGGCGGCCCGTCCCGCCGGGCAGCTTCACCGGCTCGTGGAAGGAGTCGTCCTGCGACGGCGGGCCCGCCGACGTGTGGCCCGCTCTGCTCGCTGCGAGACAAAGACACACAGGGAGGGGAAACGTCAACGACATCGACGGCGGCAAAGACCAAGACAGAAATACCACCAAGTAGAGAAAACAGGTTTGTATTTGTGTTTAGCCTGTTAACTTAATAGTTTGTGAAGACACTTCATTTTTCTCCACTAGATAACTCAAGAGCATCTGCAAATCCCAAAGTTCCAATTTTTAATTGGATTTAGGATGACAGGGCTTTGACTAGGCCATTCTAACACATAAATATGGTTTAATCTAAAGCTCCGAAGCCATTAGTGGCTTTCTAGACTTTCCACAATGGCTAAACTTGATAAACATGGTTTAAAATACTAAATACTTTGAAAAAAATAATTTGGCTGTTCTTTGTGAAACTGAATTAGATTTTCACAGCAGAATGACATTTCAAGTGATGACTTTTTAAAGTCTTTACTGGCTATTTGATGACAATTTTCTTCTAGTCATCAGGTTGGAAATCATACATCTTCTCCAAATATAAAAAAAACCCATAGACGTATATCCATCTTTTTTTTTTTTAAACAAAAAGTGAGGGTTTGTCTTCCCTTTACAATACAAAATAAAATGGCGGGTCTTTAAAAATGACAACAAATTTTCTGTAGTGCATTGTAAGTCGTCTCTTCCACATACTTATCATGGGTTGTGGCAGCGCTTATGCATGAACCAATCATTCAGCTCCAGGAAACTGAACTAAAGGGAGTGGATTGTGAGCACAGAGCTGCGCCGACACGCGGAGTTGAGAATCGGCATCCGAAAGCCAATTCCAATCACATGACTCCCCGGCTAAATCCCGGCGCAGGCCTGCACATGCAGATTGGTTTTCATTTCAGCGTTTTTTGGATTTTTTTTTTTCTCTCTCTCTCACATGTCCTGAGGGACTCTGGTCATGCAATAATGCACAACCAGATGCAAATTGACAAGGACTCCTGAATTTCTCTTCAGTTCTCTGTGAGCTCACCTGATGTAAGCGATATTCCTGTGAGAGTAAAGCTTCAGGAATTCAGCTAAATTTATGGCTTACTGTTGGCATTTTTTTTTTCCTCCAAGCAATGAGAACAAAGAAAAAAAAAAACTTTCCAGATCTGCACACGAACCTCTTTGCTCGTTGTGACTCCTCTCTATCGTGTCGTGATTTTTGGGGAAAGCGGATCCTTGCGTGTCCTTTCGGTTTCCGTGGGGAGTGCCGTTGCAGAGCGGAGCGGCTGCGTGCGACCCCGTGTCCCTCGGTTCCCCCGGGTAACACTCAGAGTAGGACGGCGGTCCCAGCAGCTGCTGCTGCTGCTGCTGCTGCTGCTGGTACTCGCCGCCGTATCCCTGAGCCAGGTAGTCGACGTCGTTGGAGTAACTGTTGCCGGTCTCCATGCAGTCTGTGCACACCACCGCTCTGTTGAAACCTGCAGCCGCAGAGGAGGGAGATAAATCATTTGAAGGCAGTAAATTGTGTTAAGAGTGTCTGCTGGGAGTTATTTACGACTCTGAGCAGGCTCTCAGACACCGGAGGCTGCTGGCAGAACAAATATTTGGAGAAACGAGACAGCGGTGGGCGGACTGATGGGTACCTGAGGCGTCCACGATGTCCCCGTTGGGCTGCGGTCCACCTCCGGCTTCCACGCGAATGCACACGTCCTGCCGCTCGGACAGCGTGCCCTGAGACGACAGGTAGCTGGGGACGTCCGGAGGGACGATCGTCTCGTCTGGAGCGAACAAACGGAGACGTTAGGAACCGCAATCCATCCGGTTCCTCTCTGGTTCTTGGTGCTGAACTCACCCGTGTTGGTCACGCTGCACTCCTCGCTCTTCTTCCTCGTCTGGTAGATGATGAAGACCCACACCAACGACGTGGCCACGATGCTCGTCACCACGGCGATGACGATGATGCCAATGGTGACGGTGCTGCTGAGGCCCGGCGGCAGCACACACGTGCCCCTGGGCTGAGTCACGGCCAGCTGGCTGTGGGCGCGCGCCGTGCCCAGCGTGTTGGACATGAGGCAGGTGTAGCGTCCGGCGTCCTCCGGCGAGGCGGCGCCGATGACCAGCAGCTGGTTGCCCGGGGTGAAGTAGTGGCGGTCGGAGGGTCGCAGCGGCTGGTCGTCGCGCAGCCAGGTGATTCGCGGGGGTGGACTGCCAACGGCTTTGCACTGTAGCACCACCGTGTCGCCCTCCGCCACACGGTGGTCCTTCATTTCCTGTGCCAGGCTGGGAGTCGCTGCAGAAACAGGAAGGAGGAAAGGAGTTGGAATTTGATGCAGTATTTTTTTTCTCCAGTTACCAAATTATATCTGACTCGGAATAGCAGGATTCATTTTAAGTTTCCTTGGGTGCCACTGACACAGATGACAAGATATTAGTTGGAAAGCAACTCAGGAAGTTTTAACATTTAGTCTCTAAACAACAAGAACATTGACTTAAACCCCAACTTGGGGCCTTTTGGTCATTTCACAGTGGCTCTCGTTGACTTACCTAAAAATTGTGAAGAATGAATAAATAATTGCACAAAATTTCCACCATAGTATGACTGTAAACATCTACAGTTCTTCCTGTCATTAGGTTGGAGGCTGAACCAGCATCAACCATCTAATATTTTGTTCTGGAACTGAGACATTCATAAATGTATGAACAACACTTATGGTTGTTATATTCTGACATATTTCAGTTTCTTATTTACTTGTGTATAATTCTTTTTAAACAAATTTGGCAAAAAAAAAAAGTGAAATATTATCCCACATTTTTCTCAATGTGCAGAAAACATTACAAGTTTTCTGCTCCATATTAATACAGTAGAACGTGGCAGGATCCCAGAGAAAAGCCCCGTCTCATTCAACAACGGTCCTCCTCCACCTCATCGACTGTGGCATCAGTTAACGTTTTATCACAACACACTAACAAGATTTCCTCTGCGGGAGAATCCTCTGTGGAACAATGCAGCCAGTGTGTCTCTGAGTGACTTTTACATTCTGGAGAATGAACTGCATTGAATTCTGTGCAAGAGAGAGAGAGAGCATGTGTGTGTGTGTGTGTGTGTGTGTGTGTGTGTGTGTGTGTGTGTGTGTGTGTGTGTCTGTGTGTGAGGGTCAGCCACTCAGACTCGACACTTCCCCTCACGGTGGGACACAGATTAAGAGATCTCACTTAACCCACTTCAGCCTCCCCCATTTTTCTTCTATCTATACTTTCTCCATCTCCATCAATCCCTCCCCCCCCTCTACTCCTCCTCTCCCCATACTTCCCTGTTCCAGTTCTCCTTTGCCTCAGACCTCCTCTCTTCCCCCCATCTTTCTTTTCCAGACAGGGGCCCCTCGACTGCAGCCACCATCCCCCTGCACCAACCCAAACATCACAGATTCGGCACACAGGCTCTGTTGATTCAGTGTTTTGCGTTGCCGGGTAGATTAGCAGAGAAGGCGCTAACCTAAATCTAAAAGTTTGAGAATAATGGGGGGATTTTTCCCCCCCTTTTTTTTCTTCTTGCTTCAGAGGACTGCATTGCTCATCTAAACACAAAGATGTTGTGTGTGTGCTGCACTGCTTACAGGAGTGAAGTCTGTTTTGTTTGCTGAGTAAACCAACCAATAAACTGGGAGCAGTGAGGCCTGCGGCGAGGTAGTCCCTCCCACTGAGAGGAGTGAAGGGGGTGGGAATGCCTAACAAACGCCCCTCTGTGAGAACCCCCCGTCCACACTCTGACCCCTATCCGCGACCTCTCACCCCTGACCCGCAGCACGGTCGCAGCTGCCGAGAAAAGAAAAATAAAAAAGCTCTGCATTCTGACCGATTCCCAACCGAGCGCCCGGCTATTTCCACACGCCGCCGTGGGAACCTCTTACCCAGGACGGTGAGGGTGGCGTTGGCCGACACGGTGCCCGCCGTGTTCTTGGCCGTGCAGCTGTACACGCCCATGTCCTCGGGCTTCACGTCCGTGATGAAGAACACGTCGTCGTCGGGCATGACGTGCATCCGCCGCTCCCGCGCGGCGGGGAAGTCCGTGCCGCCGTCTTTCTGCCAGGCGATCTGGGGCGCCGGGTGGCCCTCGGCGGCGCACTCCAACCTGGCAGTTTGGGTCGTGCGGATGGTGCTGTCCTTGGGAGTCTTCAGGAAAGACGGCAGGACTGTGGAGAAAGGAATAATCAAAGCCTCTGATCTACTCTGAGCAGAACCTTCACTTCAGAATTTAATGGCAGATGTTAAAGATTATTGAGAGATTCACTTCTTTTTCCAGATGTTCTTCGACTTTGTACCCAAAATCTTTCAGCGGAATTCTACAGGAAGCTGTTTTTCTCCGCAGATATTTGTATTAGAAATGCGCCGAACATTGATTTATGGTATATTAGTGTAATAAGAACAGCATTCGAAATATTTCTGTCTAGCCTTCCTCCTGGGAGCTGTCATTAATTATTATTGTAAGAAAAAGAGGTGACATGAGATCACTCACGGTAAAAGAGGATTATTTTACAACCAAGAGATGATGGAGACAACATTTTAAAGTGTCTTTAATACTAAACCACAAATACTAACCGAACTAGCGTATATCCCCTAGAGATTGTGGCTCATTTTATTAAGTTATTTCTGCATGTTCCATTTAAAACACATTAAGAGTTGGAAAAAAGAACTTTTATTATTAATTCTTATTTGTTAAAAGGCTTGCTCTCTCTTGCTTTTTGCTAGCCTAAGTACTTGGAAATGCAATCAAATACTTTTTTTTGGGGGCTTCTGTTGACTTTATCTTAAACTCTTCACTTTTAGCGTTTCTTCACACCTGATTCAAAAAGGCAACATTTGTAGCATTTTCAGCTAGTGCGGTTCGCTTTCTCACTGCAATGAAAGACCTATTCACCTCCTTGCCTGTGGCGGCGCTGCACCAACAACTACTTAAGAAAGCAACAGCAACGCCTCTGAAAAAGAAGTGGGCGCAACTTCTTTCTTTACAAAATGTAAACAAAGATGGAGTAGCGTCAGATTTTAGCGGTTGTAGAAGATCATGAGCCAGTTCTCCCGATAGTACTTCAGACTCTCACAATTGTTTTGGTTCCCTTTAACTAGACAGAAAGAAAAACAAGCAACATGTTCAGCGCATTTCTGGTTTGTACACAAAGACAACTAGTAAAAATAAATACCACCGTCGCAATTCTGTAAATCTCCATTTTCCGAAAGATAGTCAGAAACCTTGTTTTGAAATACAGTCAAATGTATTGATTAGCAAGTTCATGATAGAGATGGTGACCAAGGAAGAGACGGTTAATTTGAGCGAAAGCTGACCAAACAAAGATTAGAAATACTCTGCAGTTTTTCTGTGTTTTAGAAATCATTTTGCTTCTGCAACAACGACGTACCGTTGACAACAACTTGAGCCTTGCTGGAGTAGGTGGAGCCAAAGTGGTTGGTGATGATGCATTGGTAGCGGCCCTCATCGGTGAAGGTGGCGCGCCGCAGGTGCAGGATGGTGGTGTACTCCATCACACCTCCTGCGACGGCCGGCGTGTCGCCCTGAGTGCGCACGTGTGCGAAGTTCTCCATCTCTCCGTGGCGGAGCAGCTCCTGGTCTTTGCGCCAGGCGAACGTCATGGGGGAAGAGCTGCTGCTCGCCGCCGTGCAAGTGAGACGCACGTCGCTGCCTAGCAACGTCACCGTGTTCTCTGGCTGGACGGTGATCTGAGGCTTGGGAAGGTCGTCTGGACAGAAGCGGTGGTGCAAAAAGCAGCTCAGGAAACATATGGCGGCATGTGGGGGTAACCAAAAAAAAAAAGCACACTTGAAAAACCTAACTTACCACACACAAAGCTGTTTTGTGGCGCTTCAAATATGCTGGTTCCTTGCAGGCTCACTGGGTGGGCACAGGTGGCGTTTACATCTGCCTGTAGGCCATGGGCGTGGAGCCAGAAGGGCAACCACTGGAGCTGGCAGTCACAGAGGAAACTGTTGCTCTGGATGAGACTAGAGGAGAGCAGAGCACACTAAATCACCTTTAAGATTATCATTTTCCTTTCATTTCAAAACTGTGCATGACTTTCCATTGGCAGGGTCTCCCCCACTGTAATATAAGCCTGGCGGGTCACCAGGCTTTACTTGCTAAGCTTTGCTTGTTTTATTTATTTTAGGAATTTTTAAGACATTACAGTTGGTGTTTAGGTATTGTTGGTCTTGTCTTCTAATAGCACATAATTACATAGTGATATTTTCAAATTTCTTTTCAACTTTAAACAATTTTTGACTCAAAAACACGGAAAGTTGCAGGACGAGCTCAAGTTTCCTTACCACCAGGCTTAGCTAGATTTACGGACCAAACCCTGCATTGATGTATCATTAAATCTTGATAAAATATCAATTTTGTTGTAACATGCAAAAAAACAGCTCATTTTGAGTGAATTTTTTTTTTGTGTGTGTGTGTAAAAAACAAAAACAAAACAAAAAACAAATGCTGCCACTCACAGGCTTTTGAGGTTCCTCATCTTGCTGAACGCATCGGGCTGGATAGAACGGATGGCGTTGTCACCCAAGTTCCTGTCAACACGGAAAAAATTGGCAAAATCAGTTGTGTGAGGGTTTTATGGTAAGGTGGAAATATTGTTTTTTTTTTCAAGTGCAGGTTAGCTCTGCCATTCATTTAACAAAATCCTTTAAAATAATAAAAAAAAGTCTGATAGGGATTCTGTTTTTACAGCAGAGCTCACCATATGCTCAACAGCTTATGTCGAGGCAAGAAGGGGGAAAAAAAACCTCCATCCAGGCAGAGATTGAGCTAGACTAACGAGACAGAGGCAGCTGGCCGCGCTATCTTCTCCTTTTACAAAGGCCCTATTAAATTGCGAGCAACCTCGCCTCTGCCAGCTACTTTTAGGCAATCTCTGCTCCCCCGCCCTTCCTGGTCTATACACCCAGTCGTTCTGCTGTGGGGTACTCACAGGTGTTCCAGGGTCTCCAGGCCGGCGAAGGCTTTTTTGGCCACCGATTTGATCTTGTTTCCAAACAGAGTCCTGCCGTCGCAGAAACCACAGGGTGTCGATTGATGGAGGGAGCGGAAGAAGAGATGGGAAGACGGCAAGAGAGAGAGATGCACAATTAGTGATGGTGGGTTTGATGAAAGGATTGGGGGTGCTGGAAATGTGAACTGGGTAAAGATTAGACAGGGTGAGGGAGATTAAATGGGTTGCTTTTCAGAGACAACTTTTATCTGGACGCTACTGCTGTTGAATCGATAAATTGATTCTATCAATTAATAGAGTTTCTGTTTATGAAGACTGAATTTTTGGAAAACTCCCAGGAAGCATGAATCACATTAAAGCACATTTTTTTAGAAATATCTTCTGTAATTTCCTAGAAGATAGAAAAAAAAACATCAGATATGTATTTGATTTAGTACCACATGTGTAAGTGGAGCAGATCTGTCTTTTGCTTTTGTTTGCATGAAAAGGTCAGAATCGAATTGTTCATTTTGCCATGGAATAGTTGGATATGCACCATGTCCTTAATAAAGATTAAAGATTAATATATATGGGGGAAAAAATGAAAAACGGATTTGGGTGACATTTCCCTGTTGCGTTCCTTGACATTTGCCTGTTGCGTGAAAGTTGAATTCAAAAATGCAACTTTTTTTTTTTCATTTTAACGTTTTTTTGCAATTCTAAAAAGTTCTTCACTAAAAATAGTGCCCCCTACAGGCCAGGTGTTGAACTAAATGATTGATTAAATTTAGAATGTAAATGTATCCTGCTTAAAATCCAAATCAAAAAAACACAATGCTGAGCATTATGCAAAACAAAAAACAGAAAATGTAGCCCTCACAATTAATGAACTTTTTTCTTTTCAGACATAAAAAAGCGAGAGAAAAAAACCTGGCTAAAACGGTATGAGAAAAATGGCCATTTTATTTTTAAGCCATATCGACCAGCCCTACCATCTATCCTTTTTCATTCCAACACTAAGATACTGAGAAGTTTGTGACTATAATAAGACAAAATGTGGAAAGGATCAAGGAGGAGGAAGGCATTTGCAAAGCACCATGTGCTGGACACTTTGAAGTCCTCTTCTTGTTCCCCTTCTACATTTTCTTTTTCCCATGGCTCGCTTTGACATCTTTGGGACACAGAGAACTGCTTCCGCCAACGGTACAACAAAAAAAACAAACAAAAAAAAGGGGGCAGGGTCAGAGGGCGGGGGAAGGCGAGGCGTTTGATGTTTGATGACTGAATACAGCCCTCGATTTCACCCTCTCCCGGCTCCCAACAACAGACAGTGGGAATGAGGGGAGCAGAGGAACGGAGGCACAGAGCAGAAATAGAAATGAGCCTATTGGGGGAGCGAACCCCCGCCAGCTGGAAGAATAGCCCTTTCTCTCTATGTTTCTTGGGCTCTTTCTTTTGGCCGTGCTCACACTGGGAACCATCTTGGCTGGACATCGTCTTTTCATCCTGTAGGTTGATGATTGCTTGCCTAGCGCCACAAAGACTTCTCTCTCGTTCCAATTTCACAAATCGCTAACTTGGTATAGAACAGCTCAGTTATAGGCAAAGAAACTTGTGCAACTTTCACACATAACTAGTCAGATGCACCTGAATGTTATGGCTAACTGACCTCCTTGGCATGTGCTCAACTGTTTGCAGCATCCTATCGACAATCAAATTCTTCAACATCTCTTTGTTAAAACAGATTCACACCCAGAAGTTGCAGGACATCATCCCCCGAGGATTAGAGCTCCACAGGGCAGTTGCTAGCAATGAAGCCAAACATCAGTCAGCGGCCTGTATGCCATTATCCTGTTCCGCCATTATTAGACCAAGGAGCTAATTACCAGAGGATACTCTGAAAGAAAGCTCTGGAGCATCATGATCCACATTGTAGAGGACAACACTCTTGGAGTCTTGAACAAACCAGGAACTACCATCATCACTTGGATATCTCATTTGATTTCAGGTTTTGGTGACCCAGTTCGATTGAAGACCAAAGTTTTTACATTTTCAGCTGGTGCCCCTTTTCACACTGAATTGAGTCAAACGATCCAACTGTCTATTCTATTTTATCTTTGGTAAAAGCTATTTATCCCACTAGCGCTGGACTCTTGCATTTGCTTTGGTTGTATTTTCCCATAATTCCTTGCATTAATGTGTACTTCCTGCTTTTTTTTTTTTAGTGGTCTCCAGTCCGCTTCCATCCACATGTGCATTCATATGCATTCAAACGAACCGAGACTTAGGTCTTTAGGTGAACCAGTTTGATTGTGCATTCACACCTCCCCAAACAAACCAGATATAGTTGGCAAACAAACTAGAGTTCAGTTAAAGTGGACCAAAGAGGGCTGGTGTGAATGCATACCCTAAAGTATGAGGTTTTTGCGGTTCTAAGAAGTTTAGTTGGAAGTGAAGAGTAAGTAAGAACTTGGATGGACACTTTTGATTTGAACAGAAACAATTTTTTTCTGTTCTCCTGTTTTCAAAGAAGAGCAGAGAGAGTCTCAGGACAAGGGAGTGAAATGGAGGGGGTGGGAATGAATGTGGGGAAGATACTCACAGCTTGTTGAGCTTGTCCAATCCAGTGAAGGCCCCGTTGGTGTCCTCTATTGTGCCAGAGATGTCGTTATGGTCCAACTCCCTGCAGAGAGAAGGAGAGAAGAGAGGGAGGGTTAAGAAGGACCAAAAGGAAATGGACAGGGATGGGGGTCTGTCTACAGGGAAGAGTTTCCCAGCCCTGAAAGCTATGGGTTGCCTGCTCACCCACACTCCAACCCTCCTACCCCCACATCTGCACCTGGCCTGAAGAGCCCCTCTGCTGCTCTGCTCTGCCAACAGAGCAAATTCTTTCCTTCAAAAGGGATGGAGAAGTACGTGTTGGGACGCAAGACCCCGATGCAAGAGAGCGTATGTTTAATTCATGATGGCATGGAGGGGACTGGCGAGAGCACAAAGCCTCGGAGTAATGGTGGCAGGTAGGGTACGTCCAAGACTCTTAATGGCGGTAAGGGGCCAAGCTTGGCCATGGTCAAGCAGATAGACAATAGAATCAATAGAGAAGAGGGCCTTCTTTTACAGCACATTGGGAGCTTGTAAATGCATCTGTGAGGTGCAACAAACTCTCAGATGAAGTCATCGCTTAGGAGAAGCCACGACTTGCCCCTTCCACATGAAGATCAAACACATCAAACTCGAAGAACTCCTCTGAATCGACAAAGGCCTTCCTCCGACTTGAGAAACCCCTTTGAAGCTAATGGTCAGCTGCACCTCCTTCTCCCTTCACTATCTAAGCATCTTTTATTCATTCCTCTCCCCCCTCTGTTTCTTTTCAGCCTCCACTGGCTGCTGCCTTTGGTATGGGGCTCAACTAGGCCTGCCAATTTCCAACACTTTCTGGCTGGCTGGATCTGAATCGCCACCCCTGGCTTTGCCTTGTTAAAGCAAAGCCAAGGGTGGGTGGGTGAGCTGCCGTGGAGCTGAGGGACCGGTGGAAAAAGGGGGTGGGCCCCAATGAGCCAGCGACCCCCGTGGCCGAATTAGAGGGCAGGCTGGCTTGTTTAGAGCTTTCACACCCCGATGTGGGCTCCAGCCCCATGCCAGCACAATCAGCAGCACATACCCAATTAAAGCTCCCCCAGCTCTTTTTCAGAGCCCTGCCTATGCCTGTCCTCCCCTGCACTGATTAGATTAGGCCTGCCTCAAGAGACAAAGAGGGCAGAGCTTTGGACAAGGACAAGAGAGTCTTCAAAAACTTCCAGCAAAACTAAAAATGGAATGAAAAAGTATTCATACCTTTGGTATTTTCTCCCACTTTCTCATGTTACAAGTGCAAACTTGTATTTCATTGGGAGGTTTTTGAGTAACATCTCTTTTTGCCGCATCAGCTCGTTCGGGGTATGTTTTCACAAGCTTTGCACAGCTAAGTACTTTTTGCCCATTCATCTTTACAAAATAGCTATAATCATCAATTCACATGTTTGCAAAGAACTGTATTTAGGGGTATTACATTTTTTAAAAAGGGACTAAATGCAAATTTCATACATGTAAGCTTTTTCTTACACTTCTGGATAGTAGGTTAATAAGAGAGGTCTGACACTTAAGTGGCTTTTTAAACCCTCTAACTTTGGCTATTAGTAAATTTGACCAAATTACTAAGTATTGAGTAACTTCAAAAATGTATAGGCAGTAAATATATGCCTTTGCATTTTCTTACACATCTTATATATGTTTTGAATGTTTATGTGAAGTAAGTTTTTTCAAAGTAAGTTTTTTTACAAAGTACAAGGAGTTTCATTTTTAATATCTATTTGAAATTTTAATGTACTATGAAAAAATGCAATCATTTACTTTTATAGAAACATTTGACTATATATAAAAACTGGTTATTTTGCTTTGAACAGTCAAGTAAGCAAATCAGATGCAAAAATGAGTCAGTGTTGTAAAGGCTGCTGACCTCTGCCTGTCCTACAATGTAACACTCATAAAATATATCAAGATTTGTGGCTATAATGTGGAAAAGTATATGGGGTAGGAATACTTTGGCAAAGCACATCAAGTGTTTTTCATGAGATAACACGCAGGGATAATAGCACAAGCAGAAGATAAAAAAAACAAAAAACAGACATAAATTAAAATATGGGTGATTAAAAACCAGAAATAAAAACATGGGAGAAGAGCCTAGAACTCATCAAAACTGTTCGTCTCTTCCCTCTGTGACCAGTAAACAAGCCCCCAGTGTGTCACAGAGAGAGACACAGAGAGAGAGACCAGTGTTTGGCAGATCAGGCTGCTATGAGAGAGCTCGTCTATGGAGATTTGGCTCTGCTTTTTGTGTTATGTGCGTGTTGTTGTTTTTCTAGCTTGGAAAGCAGCAGAGCCAAGTAAACTGTAGTTAACCAAGACCCAAAAGGCTTTGAAGGATTTATCCATCGACTTTTTCTCTTTGCTTCTCTCCCTTTATTTTATTTTGGCACCTGGTGCAAAAGGTGAAAGAAAAAGTATTTATCCTCAAGTTCTAGACGCATGGAGGCATATCAACAAAGCAACGCTTTCAAGTCCAAGCTTGTCCAGACACCAAACTGGAGAAAAAGAGGAAAAGAAAGGCTGGAAAAAGCAACAAATGGCAGCAGAAAATAAAAGAAAACAGCCTGAATATACATGAATGCTAATCAGACCCTCTAAGTCACATATGTCAAAGTCAAAGCCCGCGGGCCGGATCTGGCCCGTGAATTAATTACCTTTGGCCCTCTGGATGACATTTAATTACTATTAGAACCGGCACTCAGGCCACAGTGGCCCGGCATTTTGCACGCAACAACACTACATTTCCCACAATGCAACGGTAGCCCGGGGAGTCACTGCAGCACAAGCAGCTTCATCAGCAATCAGAGCAGAGATCAACTTTCAGGTACCCCCTCCTCAAAAATGGCTAAACTTAGACGCTGAGTACAGAGGGTTTCAGGCCAGGTGGGAGGCAGAGTTTATGTCCATGGAGGTAAAAGGCAATCTCCGTCAACAATCTCCCCTTCAGTTCAACCTTATATGTGGAAACACATTGTTGTCATTATAAAATAACTTGCAATTAAGTATTGGCAAAGATCAATGCGATGTTCACAGATGACGGAGCGTTGTTGTTGTTAGCAGCTGCTGAAAGTAACTAAAATAGTTACTTTTAATGTAACTTAGTTACTTTCCAAATCAAGTCATCAGTCATCTAAGTTACTTTTTTAAGGAGTGATCAGTAATCTGATTAAAGTTACTTTTTCAAAGTAACTATGCCATCACTACCTGTGTGTTTTCTGTGTGGAGAAAGTTTGGCTGTAGTGAAAGAATATAATCTTAGAAGGCACTATCAAGAAACATATTTAGTTTTTCAAAACAATTACATTTTTTGCTGTTTGCCTGTTGAAAAATGGTTTCATTTGAAATTACTGATAGATCCATAACAAAATAGCGCTTTATTCATTTAATTATTAAATAGTATACAGGCCTTGGTTCAATAGGCTATGTGCAATCATTTCAATATGTTTCAATAAATGGTGAACCAGTCCGGCCCTCGGCTTGTAGCACATTTGGTGTTTTGGCCCTCGATGTATTTGACTTTGACATCCCTGCTCTAGGATGTCCCAGCGTTGTTTTGTGAGTATTGTGGTCGATTTTGTGGCACTTTTTGGAAATATGGCAGTTTTTTAAACTCTATTTTTGTCATAACATCATCTTCCAAAAAAGTTAAAATTGCAGCACGTAACCTTCTGAAAAAGAAGTGCAAACAATATTTACAATACCAATAAAATCAAGCGCTGAGGAGGATTCAAAGTGCAAAAGAACTTCATATTGGTCATCCAAGGTAACATAAAGTGTATAGACAGTATAAGAAAATTCTACACAATGTCTCTAAATGGATTTAGCAAAACTAAAACTAAAAAAATAAATAAAAAACAATGTTACAGTTTAGCATCACACATGCCTCATCTTGCAGGTTCGGCTTTCAAAAAAACGCAATGAAACAGAAAGTTAAAGAGAAAGAGGGCTAAGGGGATTGGTCAAAATTAGGCCCAGTTGCAGTGGTTGGTCAGAAAACGTTAAGGTGATTGGTCAGATTTTCAGAAAGGTTGTGCAGACTGTCGGACATTGCAAGTCTGCACAAAATTAGCGAATCGTGAGTGAATTGGAACTGATATTTGCGATCACAACTTCCTGGAGCGACTGACTAATAGGACTCTTTGTAAAGGGATTACTCGGGCATGAATATCAAATATCACACAGGCAACACCGATATTTAACAGCTCAGCTTTCACTGCTCTAAAGTGGAACGTCTAACCTTATCTCTTCATCAGGGGCAAGAAATAGAGGGAGCAAGGGACGGGGGCTTATTTGGGGTTTGGTAATAACGGGTGGTGCACTTACAGGACTCGTAGAGCCTTGAGGCCCCTGAAGGCCCCCTCATTAATGTGGCTGATGGAGTTGTGGCCCAGCCGCAGTGAGTGTAGATCCCCCAGCACGGCCAGACTCCCCTCGTCCAGACGGGTCAAGTTGTTGTACGACAGATTCCTGGACAGAAGAAGACACAGACAGAAAAAGATGGGACAGACACAGACAGACAAGGGGAAGAAAGAAAAAAGTTTGCTGTGAGGTCTGGAAGGAGATGACAGGTTAACAGAATACAAACACAGCTTGCAACATTATTAGACTTAAATTTCATAGCTGATTTGAAAGCGCTTCGCAAGCATGCCTTTTTGTAACAAGCTGTTAGCAGAATGGATTCAGCAGACATCGAAGCAAAGCTGAGATCCAAATCATTAAGCAGGGAGGAAACCGTCCTGGTTGGGACGTTATATGTCTACAATCTACATTTACACACCAACAAGACAATGTGGTAAACCCCAGAAAATAAAACTCAATCCTAAAAATGGAACAGTTAACGTGATGTTTGTTTACTCGGAAGCCTGCAGAAAGCACACACGCACTTCCATGAGATAAGAACGTCGAATGAATCAAAGTTGTTTTTGTTGTTTCAGGAAAAACTGGATCTGATTTCTGTGCATTTCAGAAACAGACGGACCATTGAGCCGTTTTCTGGCTGACACAGTTTTCGTCTGAGAACATGAACTCATAAAAAAAAAAAAAAAACTGAGTTGGAGATTCTTTATTAGGATATTCAAACTGATTCATAAGTCCTTTTAATGAAAGTATTCTTAACCATACTTGATCTCTAGTTGTTTTTCTGGAATTTTTATGGCAATCTGGATATATATGTACAGAAAAACACAAAAGTCCCACTTAGGACTTTTGTTTAAAAAAAAGTAAATAAAAAACATTTGCACCATTTTTCAAAATGGCAATTATTTCAACAATATTAAATCTCTTAACAATTGTTACCTAACTGGAAATTATTGTGCTCGCTTGAATTTTACATTCAATCAATTGATTCTTTTTTTTTTTTTTCATTTTGTCTATTGGTAAACGTTGCATCTTAATTATCATGAATCCTCCAGCAGGAACTTTCCAACAGTCCCTCAAAGACATTATTGTGCATTTTATTGCCCTCTCTGTGGCCCTCTGTGTGCCGCTTTCTGTGGCCAGCCCTCAAGTCTGCTTGACCAGCCATGTGTGCAGAGATTCCCCCCACTGATGACCAGCTCAGCCAGGCGCAGTGGGAATGCAATAACAGCCTCCTCATAAAGACGAGTCACTCGCGTCTATCAGCTGCGAGGCTCGTCGCAGCTCTATAGATAATAAAACTCGTGCGAGCTGGGGCAGGGAGTGCAGAGCACCGGGAGCAATCTGCCATTCATAAGATGTGCACACAGAAAGCTGCCCCGAGATACACAGTGCAAACTCGAATGCATGCCGTCCACCACTTTATCCTCTCGGACCGCTCGGCGTAAACAAGCCGCGGCGCCACGAACGACTGAGGCTACCTCACGGTTCGCGACGCCCCGAGCCAAGCGAAGCACTTTAGAGCGGCGTTACGACACTCGTGTCAACAGCGCAGGGGAAAGAAAACGGCAAAGAGTGAGAGAGACAGAGAGAGAGAGAAAGAGAGAGAGAGAGAGAGAGAGACCTTCGGATAATAACTCGGGAGACAAAGGCTGAAGAGGCAATCCTCAAGCATAATTACCACAACACAAACAACAGGAGATTACACGGCCCTTTGCCGAAACCTCAAGCCTCGGAGACGAGCACAAAAACTCTTGTTGAAGGGCTTGTGTCCCGTTGAGCCCGGCTCTAATTATGGGATAAACAGGCTTATCCTGAGAACGGCGTGGCATATAGAGTGTTAAAGGAAAATGTTATCTAACCCTGGGCGAAGGCCTTGACGAGAATTGGGTTACTCACAACAACAAAAAAACACACTAAAGCACAACTCGATCTGTCCTCCAGGTATCCTTTTTTTTTTTTGGGGGGGGGGGGAGTGAAGGGAGGATTGTCTTTTTCAAAAGGTTCAGGCTCGTTAACCTGCGAGGACTTACAGTTCCCTCAGCCTCTGGCAGAACTTCCAGCCGTCGGGGTTGATGCGGGCTATCGAGTTGTTGCTGAGGAAAAGCTGCGTCAGAGAGCTCAGGCCGTACAGGGAGCCGCTGTTCACCTCTGTCAGGTTGTTATACTCCAGGTGCCTGCAGGAAGTACATTTTAGGAGAAAACCAAAACAACAGCAGTAAGCATTTCCTCTCCAACAGGTTTGAGCATACCTTGTCTCAAATTTAAAACGAGGAAAGCAAATTTGTTTAACTTACAGGATTTTCATTTTGGACAGGTTCCAGAAGGCTCCATCAGTCAGTTTGCTGATGCTGTTCCTCTGCAGTTTCAGCACCTCCAGACTGGACAGACCCTGGAAGGTCAGACCCTCAATCTGAAGGATCCGGTTCCTGTTCAGCTCCCTGCAAGGTGGACACACAGTAAATAAGAGAGATAACGTGGAGATAGGTGATTAATTATTGATTTTTGACAATTTAAATTTTTTGGAAAAATTTGGATTTTCTTTTTTTTCTTCCAATGAACTCCTTGTGTTTTTGTATTTCAGAGTCAAAAAAAGGACAGCCATTGTGTTTGACATGCCTGTTTTACAACTTCTATTTACTAGGTCATCGAATTCAAGTCAACTGTACATCAGAGTATTAGGGCCAGGCAACAAAATGGTTCTTTATTACGAGATTAAAGCTGTAATATTAGTAAAACAAAGTAGTAATTTTATGGGAACTCCTACACAAAAAAACCCAAAAGTTCAACTGAGGGATGTTGAGCATCTTGTGAGCATCACAAGTTGGTATGAGTAAAACTCATACTAACTTATTAACATACTAAAAGTATTAATAAATTAAGTATTAATAGAAATACTTAATCTTTTGACACACCAGCATCAAATTATCATCAAAACTTTGACACGATTGTCTGAATAAATGTCTATTTTGAAGAAAGAATCTCAAAGAATGGGCTGGTCATGTCAGATTTTGATAGCAAGAATATTTTTCATTAAAATTACGTATTTTTCTCCTAATTTTGAGATGTTTTTTATGGTAAAATTGTGTCTTTATTCTGCTAATTTTTAAAAATTTTATTCTTGTAATTAAACAAATATTTCCGTAGCCTGGCCATAATACTTTGTCGTGTAACTCACAGAAGGATATTTTCTGTCATTGCAAATTTTGTTTTTTAGCAAAAACAGCACAAAGAAATCAAAAAATCAGATTTGGTGTATAAACAAAAAAAATCATCAGATTTTATTTCTACGCCATATCGCTCAGCCCAATAATAACCTTATTTTTCTTGTTTTTTATCAAGAAAATGTGCTGTCTTTATTCTGAACAGACATAACACAACCAATTTGAACCACTGAATCCATCAAGAAACAAGACTTACTTTTGAACTTAGGTGTAATAAATAAAGTTAACAAAAAAAAAAACAGCATTAGATGTAGAAACTACATGTAGTCTCCTCTTGTACGCAACATTAAACTGTGCAGTTGCCGTGTTTGACGGCTTTAAAAGCCCCCAGGGCTTCCGGAGACAAACATCCATACAGGTTCTTTTATGTCTCGCATGCATCACCGCTAGCATCTGGAGATACAGTGTCACCCGGACCACCTGTGCAACAAAAGGCACCTGAGGAACCCCGGGGTGGGACTCCCATTACACGAGTGGCTCCAGTCTCTGGAGTGAAGGCGTTGAGCAATGAAATGGGGTCGTTACGCTGGAGGGAAGTCGGACGAAGATAATGGACCACGGCGCTGAGATTGAGCTAACCACTTTGGGGTTATGGAGGAAGGCAGTAAATCACTAATAATACAACTCTGGTGTTTACCTTGTCAGGCCTTATCCACCCCTAGAGGTATAGCTCACACTAACAGCGTTCTAAATGTTAAACACACAGCGTTCAATCAACAGACACCAGGAAGCCACTCCTCGACCCAAACTCTTAAATCCTCTCGGTTCTCTTAAGTCACCGAAGGATACACAAGGGAAGCCCTATTCGTTTCCCAGCCTGACTGTAGAGGTGAACTGGTCACGCAGATTTAGACCCAAACACTTTTCAACGCACAAATTGTGATTAAAAAAAGAGAGAAAGAGCGAGAGAGAGAGAGAGAGAGAGAGAGAGCAGGATACTCACAGCTGGGTGAGTCTCGGGAGCTGGAAGGCTCGGATCGGGATCTGGCTGATGCGGTTTCGGCTCAGTCTCAGAACTTGCAATGTTGAACCCAGGTGATCCAGCGCTCCGAGTTGCAGCGTGCTGATCTTGTTGTTGCTCAGGTATCTGAAAAAAGAACAAAGATTTACAACAAGCCATGGCGGCAAGCAGTCTGCAGCATACCGATGAACACACACAAAAACAAACAGAACCGTCGTACTTACAGGTCTCTGATCTGAAGGCCGGCGGGAAAGCCGTCCCCTCGCAGGTCGGTAATATCGTTATTGCTCAGGTCCAGCGTTTCCACGGAAACCAGCTCTGTGGTTCGGCTGCCATCGATAGTGCGGATCTTGTTATGATGTCTGAAAATGAAAAAAAGATAAAACCTTTAGCATCGGCTATGTTATGAAGACGACTTTTCTCAACCTACCGCGTACAAATCAATCAAGGCACTCCAATCCGCTTCGAGTTCCATAAGCCCGCTTAGCAAGAGCAGGTTACACAGAACCAAGTGGCCACAAACCGAGTCCTCTAAGAGCTTCCAAGCAGAAACCGGCCTTGTTTAAACAACTCCAAGGACACAGAAGAGGCGGTCACTGAGCGTGTGATGAAATGTACTGATGGCAGCATGTCTCTGGACGCTGGGAAGTATGAGGGCAGGGTCTGGACTTTTACAGTTGACCCCAAGAAATGTTAGATGGCAACTGAGAAGACAGGAAAACTAAAGCGAAGAACCACGGTGGAGATTAGCGACACGGAAACGTTCCGCCTTGCTTGCCATATGTTTGGTCACACCGCATGTGTCTAACGGAGACGTGATTCAGCCACGTTTGGGGCTCTAGTAAGGAGCTCTGGGGGTCCTGTCTCAACAACTCAAATGTGAAAATAAAAGAAAAAAAAACTATTATGAGTAGAATTTGAAGCCAATATCCCAAGAAAAATGTACGAACTTTGTCCAGCCAAGCTTTTTGCATCTATCTTCAGTTACTGAAGATAGATGCAAAAAGCTAGCTAGCTAGCAAAGGTACATCAGCAGTGAATGAACTCTGGCTTAAGTTACTTGCTCAGTCTTGTAGCATGAGAGTTCTGTTGCAAGCTGAGTTATTCAAAATGGAGCGTTTTTGTTAGTTTGCGATTTTGATTTAAAAAACTCCCAACTGACTGTTCTCCCTGTCTGAGACCACTGATTAATATTTTTGAAACAGCAATTTTCTGTTTACAGAGACTTCAGGATCCATTTTATGTTCTCTTTTGGTTGTAGTTAGATTTCTACATCCATTTAACATATTGTCTTTGGCTGTTTTGCTTCGGTCTATTTAAAAAGTCTTCTGTTTGCAAGTGTTACATATTCTTTAACAATTACAGTGGCATTATCATCATATTAGTCAGAAATTGTCTCAAGATAACAATATTATTGTTTATTGCTATAATTTCGGTGACAATGTATCGTCAGGCAAGACTTGTTATTGTGACAGGCCTAGAAGAGTTGCAAATAGACTGCATTGAATAACCAATTCCCATAATCTTTAGAGATATAAGTAATTACATAGTAATGAATATATCTTCTTGCAAACTTCATAACGATAATGGCTGGTGTGTGTAAGTTTGTGTGTGTCAAAATGCAACAGAGAGCAGGTGCTCCCAAAGGAAAACTCATAAAAACAAAGCTAGTCCCTACTTCCTCTCTGGCTCTCTACCAGCAGATGAACACACGCCAACAGCCACACACACTTTCTGCTGTGTGTATGTGTGTGTGCCACATCATAGTAGCCCACCTGAATAAACAGTGGCAGAAATGGTTAAGGATGAGCACCCATGTACACACACACACACACACACACAGGGGACAGCGCTATAGACAGTGGCTACAGTGAGCCAATGCCGCAAAAAAAGAGGGGAAGGACTGGAGAAGAAGAAAAAGAGGGAGTGGGAGAAGGGGAGGAAGCACTGAGGGGTGAAGTGGGGTCAACAGCTGGTGACCTCTTGCTGGGAAAAACACATCGGTCTCAAACTCTCATCTCTCTCTCTTTCTCTCTCTTCACATTAAGCATATTCATTCCCAAAGCCGGGTTCCCAGCTGCGTGTTAGAGACAGATAGCGTTTGAAGTCCACGTTGCTACAATGGTAGCGTTTATTTAAAAAAAACGGTTCTCATACAGCCGATGAAGTCTGCGATACAGAGGAAGCCCGGTTAAATCTTGTTCTCCTTTGATGTCCAAGGCTCCCATTCGCCCCAATTTCGCTTAATTCCAAATCTCATTATTACCCTCTGACCGCCTGATTAGCATTGGGCCAGCTCATTTTGATACTCCTTTTGATGTGCGGAGAGAGCGTTACACTAGCAGGGCTGCCCTCCCACTCTCCAGCCACACCTTTGAGGTCCGCCGGTTGGTCAGTATCGTTCGGTTTGATGTCAGCGCTCTGGACAAAAGGAGAATTATTTGAAAATCAGATCATCCGTTTGATTTTTTATCTCAAGCTGTTCTAAAGAGCCTCTTTGAAGCTGACTGTGGACAAAGAGAAAGTTTGTGCTGCGCCGCTGTCACTTTGACACTGTGTTTTTAAAACTTTTTGTTGCTTTTCTCCCCCCACTCTCTGTGCCACCCTGCTGTGGCATTCTGGGAGTCTGCGGGACCTTCAATAGGCCTGCCAAATGCATTGTGGGAACTGTGAGAGCCTGGCATCTGGTGTGTAGATGGCTCTGCGTTAGTTCCTCGGTCAAATCGAGCTAGCTTGTTTATTTTTTGGATCTGTGCCTGGGCAAGGTGCAGGGTTGTTTACTAGCTTCTAGGTACCAGGGCTCTAAAAAGGTCCGGTCTGGAAAGTAGAAAAAAATTTCACATCGTTCCAAATGTTCACTCTGGAGTTGAGGTGGGTAATATTTATAAGTGATATATTACTATATTGCTAATGAGAAAAACTACTTCTTACTTCGTTTTTATGTCTCCATTTTAGAGAGACAATCTGACTCCACACTTTTTGGTAACCAAACCCACCAGGCTTTCTGTCAAAGCTGCCAAATCAGGACACAGAAATGAAAAAGGTATTTACATCGTGTTCCAAATTATTATGCAAGTGATATTTTCTCAAATTTTCTTAAATGGTCAATGCAAATGATGGTCAGTATAATTTTCAAGTCATAAACTATTACAGTATAGTTCATAGTTCAAGCTCCCTATGAGAATGGTATGTTTTTCAAAAATAAAAAACTCAAAATGAACTATTCCAAATTATTATGCACAGCAGATTTTCTAAACATTTTATGGATTATAAACAACTGCAAACGGTCATTCTTTGAATGTGCAGCATTAAGTGGCCACATGCACTAAAATCAAAAGCTATTTCAATCAAAAACATGTTAACAGACCGAGTTACATGTTAACATAGGATCCCTTCTTTGACCCCTGCACAATTCTTGCATCCATTGAACTTGTGAGTTTGTGGATAGTTTCTGCTTGAATTTCTTTGCAGGATGTCAGAAAACCTTCCTAGCTGCTGTTTTGATATGAACTCCTGCTTGAGGAAACTCCAAAGGTTCTCAACAGAGTTGAGGTCAGAGGAGGATGGTGGCCACACCATGAGTTTCTCCCCTTCTATGCCCATAGTAGCCAATGACACAGTGGCATTCCTTGAAGCATGAGATGATGCATTGTCCTGCAAAAAGATGATTTTGCTACTGAAGGTACGGCTCTTCTTTTTGAACCATGAAAGAAAGTGATCAGTCATAAAGTCCATATACTTTGCTGAGGTCATTTTCACACCTTCAGGGACTCTGAAGGGGCCGACCAGCTCTCTCTCCTAATGATTTCAGTTCAAAAAAATTACCCCACCACCTTCTTGCTGAAGTCGCAGCCATTGGGATGTGTTGACCATTCACCACTAATCCACTACTGCGTCCATCTGGACCATCCAGGGTTACACAGCAGTCATCAGTAAACAAGTCTGTTGGAAAATTAATCTTCATGTACAGCTGGGCCCACTGCCACAGTTTCTGCTTGTGAGCTCTGGTTCGGGTTGGCCCAATAGACGGTTCATGCACCGTAAGCCTCTGGAGGATCCTCCACCTTCAGGTTCCAGAGGCACCAGCAGCTTCAAGTAACTGTTTGCTGCTTTATAAGGGCCTTTTAACAGCTGCTCTCTTAATCCAATGAATTTGTCTAACAGAAACCTTCTTCATTATGCTTTTATCTGTACAAACCCATCTTTGTTCTGAATTAGCCACAAATCTCTTCACAGTACAATAACGCTTCAGTTGTCATTAAATATCTCATGTTTCAAACCTTGTCATACGACACTACACTATCTGATGATGTTGGTCAGCAGAGATCCTTTCTCTTTCCCATAATAATGAGAACATCCTTCTTAAGTAGATTTCCTTTAATTGAGCTCACCAGACAAACTAATCAACCAGCTCTCTGAAATTAATTACAGGCATTCAAAGAGCCCTGACACACAATACCATCTATAAATTTAATAGCACAACAAAAATTTTAATCTGTATGACACTTACATCCAATTTGCATAATAATTTGGAACCCCGGTGTATATAAAATTTTAAGACTAGGAATGTAATTTTTACATGAATTAAGTGCTATGGATGATTATGATACTACCAAGGGTTTGGAGATTGGAGGAATGTTTATTTGTTTTTAAAAAAAGAAAGAGATCATTATTGTTCTCAATAGAGAAATGTTATTAATAGAGTATAAGTCATCTCGAAAAGATGACTAATAGACATTTCCTGTCATCAAAACTTGGAAGAACAAAAGTGAAACAGCTAATTTTCACTTCCTGGAACAGTAAGACAGAGTCTCCCGTAAACATTCAGACTATCAAACATTGGACACCTGAGAGGCCGTCGGACCATCGGACGTTAGCAACTGCATATGTGCCGCTCTCTGGCTTTTTGGAGAGTATGCTGTTGCATGAATTTGTCTGAAGGTGGGATGTTTTGTTCGTTTTGTCACGAGTGTCAGCCACCGTCTCACTCAGACTTGCAGTCAGACGACATTCCAGACAACCTCTGGCCAGCGGCAAAAAAAAATAATAAATGACACCGGCACACAAACGCTCTCTCTCTCCGTCTCCCTCCTTCCAGGTGGCTTGATCGGTGCAGAGCTGGGTCTGTTTTCAGAAACAAACTGCTGACCCTGGTTTCACTTCATTCCTCCACCTCTCTGCACTCTCCTCCGGTCCACCTCACCGCTTCCCCTAATCTCTCCTCTTTGGACATGTAATGATGTCACCCTTGATCTGACACCATTCAAATCCCACATCCCCCTCGCTGCCTCCACGTTTCCTCCTGCCTCCCTCCTCCCCCTCGCTCGCTGTTGCCCGTTTTACTGTAAGCCGTGTGACTGACAGCTGCAGCTGCAGCTGCGCTGCGCGTCGGCGGGCCCTCGCTTCAGCTGCGTAGCTTTGTAAAAATCTGACCCTCCCTCCAGCCTCCACTCCCATCAGGACAGCAGCTCTTCCTCCCCAGCAACAGGCTTCGAGTCAGGCCAAAAAAAGACAGACCCCGGCCCTTTTGGATGAGCTTCCACTTTCCACACTTTGCGGGGGAAGTAAAAGGTGAACTTGCTCCGGTCTGTTTTGGATCAGAAGTAAAAGGATCGACAGAAAACTGAAGAAAACAAACAAACAAGAAAGAGAGACACCATTTTAGAAGGTTATTACAGTTGCCCGTCGCCTAATCTAACTCAAACTCCCCCCTTCTTCCTTCTTCTAAACCAACTGCAGCTCACAGAAATATTCTGACCACATCGGTGCATCATGATGAATTCTGAGAAGCAGGCAGATGACACACAAGGGAGAGGCGAGTGTGTGACTCCTACAAAAGCTCGGCGTGGAAAAACGATACGCCGATGACCAAACATGACACGGAGCAGCAGCTGTGCGCTTTACTAGCGAGAGGGCAGCCGGCGCGCTGCAAACCTGTGAACGAAGCTAACGGCTAGCAGCAAAATGAGCTTGAGCGAGATTTCTGCTGAGATAGTAGTGAAAATGTTTTTGTTGTCGCTACTGCTGAAAGAAGACAGCTGATGTGTGGCATTCTAAAAAAATGTGTTAGAGGCTAGCATAGTTAGCATTAATAGCTTCCTTAGCCACACCTTAACTCTATAGTTATCGTAATGGATGCCTGAATTTCCAAATCCTCAAATAGATGAAACAACTTTACGCTTATACTTTATCTTTGTAGTATATAGCATTTATGAACAATGTTTTTTTCATACTTTGTCATGTTGTGACAGCATAGTATGAGACAGATGATCTGTAAAAAAATAAATCAAGCTTTTTTCCTTCTTAAGAAAGGACAGAGAATTCAAAGCTCTGTCAGAAACCACTAATCAGAGCCATGAAGACAGTCTTAGCACTGTCAGTCATAGCTCTCTGATATGCTACTGCTAGTCCTCCACAATGTAGCCTGACATGGCTGCTAGTTAGCATGTTCACATTGAGCCAGCGTGTACACAAGTGTGATTATATGTCTCATACCATACTATAACAAATTGGCCATTTAAACAAATATGGGAGAAATCCTTTTTTTTCTTTTTTTTTTTTTAAATAAAAGTTAAGCCTTTCTGTTATGTGCTTAAAAATGACTGTTTCCCTATATCTACGCTTCATTTGAGTGAAACAATCAAATGAAGCGTTTTTCTTCACTCAGTTAAAGCATTTCATCAAAGAAGATTAACGTTTATGCAACCTAGTAGAGCTCAAATAAGATGAATTCATGTGAAGATGTGATCTCAAGATGCCCAATAGGCGGTCAACAGTCAGATCCAGTCATGCATTGAATTAGCCCATATTGGTAACCCACCTATTTTCAGTAAATCTTTATAGTTTATCATTTTCACATTTTCAAAGCTTGATTCTAAACGTTCGCCTAAGTTTTTAAGATTTAAACACACAGAAAGTTTGTCTCACTGACCATTTTAAGTCTCACAGAATCGGCTAGATTTAGCTAAATCCCCGACCCGCAACATGCAAGAATCCAAACTATAAACATGAAGCACTCCTGTAAGTCTCCTCAAACTTTACTTGTTGTTACCTGACCAGATCACAAATCTTTCAACCGTTTTGGATGAGAGACAGAAAGAGAGAAAAAAATAAATAAAATCAATCTACTGATGGACTGCTGAGCTCACATTTGTGACACACTCAAGCGTACACACGCCCTTCCCAAATACGGCTGTAAATCTCCAGCGAGATGCCAGTGCAGGCAGTCCTCCTCCACCCCCTCTAACCCCAATCAGGCACGGTTTCACAACTGGGAGTCGAATCCATATACGAGCCGACACTCCAAACAGCCAGCGCGGCTCGCTGTAGACAGGACCACATAGCCAGCTAATGAGAGCCGTCGCTGGCTATAAACCGTTTGTTGATCTGTCAAGACATGACTCTGTATTGATGGCAATGGGGCTCAAAAGAAAAAAAGGGGGTTTTGATCTGCTTTGGCGCAGCCGGGTTGTATTAATGACAATCTTCACATTAAATCAACATGACTTCTGAGGACTGGAAGTGTCTCTTGTCTGACTTATGGATACAGTGGAGGAAGACATACTGCTGCAGAAAGTAGGGCAGTACTCACAGGTAGAGGGATACGACGTTGGAAGCGGCCCGTCCTAAATCTGGTATGGACGTCAGCTCATTGTGATCCAAGCGTCTGCAAGGGACAAACAGTAGGTCAGAGAAAAACAGGAAACGTTTAAGCTAAAACAAACCCATTAATAACCCACAGAAACATTTGAGTTATCAAGAGCTGAATTTGTAACAAGACTCCAATAAAAACTTCACTTTTCTCGAGATCACACGGACACTTTTGAGCCTTTGTGAGTTCGCTGAATTCGAGCTGGACATAAATCAAAGCATTTCAAATACTACTTGTCACGTCTGCCGCAGAGCAAGCGGCAGGTCATCCTTGTAAAAACCCAAAAATAACACGGGAGTAAAACAGATGTCCAGGAGCGTATGACTGGTGGGCCGGCCTGCCAGAGATGTCACCAGTGCGTGTATTATCTGGCCAGTGTGTGTCTGTGTGCGTGCTGGCGCTCAGTGACACGAAGCCAAGCCCCTCTCCTCGCCGTATAAAATATTTACAAGGCCAGTGCTGGCCACAGTATCGGGTGGTGGAGGGGAAGGCTTATTATAGAAAGCCACCACTTAATTCTTAATTGGACTTAGTTCAAGGCGACACACAGGAGGATGCTGCTAGGAAGCACGCTGACATTGGTCCGTATTGAGTCGTTTACAGCGCAAAAGTCTCACCTTTTCTCACTCTGTCACCTTATAACCACTGGCTTCAACGTGTTTAATGTTTCATAACACAAAGTAGAATGCTGCTCAATATAAAAAATCTGAAAAGTATGGAGTATTTAATCCCTCTTATCTTTGAAATCCCACAAATCTGGCCTCTAATGAAAAGGAGTAAGTTTCCAATTTGTCTATAAGACAAGTGGAGGACACATAATCTTTTGTTGGTGAAACACAATGGTGGCAGCATTATGCTGTGGGAAGGTTTTCTTTTCTGCTGAGGTTGGAGTTGATAAAGAAAGATGATAAATGTGCTTGCTACAAACACACACACACACACAGTAAAACCCATTACTGGAATTTTATGGATTATCTAGATCTAGAACATTTGAACAAGATTTAAAGACAAACTCAGGCTGACATGAAAAAATAACTGGATTTTGAAGGAGGCGTATAAGAATCGAGAAGTAAAATGTGCATTTGAAAAATACTAGAAGCAAGATGCACATTCTTATTTTTCTAAAAACTAAACAGCCACCTTTCCTTAAAGTAAGATTATTCTGGCATTAGCCAGACTGTGTCACTGAAAATGAATACTTTGGTATACTTTTGTGCACTCTTCTCTCTGCTAACAAAACTAACAAGGTAGAAGGTGCTTTGATCAGATAAACCTAAAATGTAAATTTTTCAGATTTTTAATTGCAGAAATGTTTACCATGCATCCTTTTCCTTCCACTTTGAAAGTTATGTAGTACTTTATGTTGGTCTACACATTAAACATATTGAAGCTGTGAGAAAACTGGAAGAACTTCAAGGGACATAAATATGACAAAAGCAGTAATTTGAGTGATTCAGCTCAATACTTACAGTTCACGTAAGTTAGGAAGATTGGCAAAGGCTTCGGCGCTGAGGGAGGCCAGCTTATTCCGTCCAAGATTTCTGAAACATGGGAAAAAAAGAGAAAGGTTTTAACACAAAAAGCAGACCACAGCTACATGCGGTATCACATTTTAGCTTTGCAGCTGTTTAAAGCTTTTCTGTCAAACCTATCTTTTCTGACAAAAAGACTCTGATCAGTTGCAGTACTTACAATTACATCTCCCATTTGACAAGCAGCCTCATCTGTATGTCCGTACGTCTGGAAACACTGCAGTACATAAATCCGGTTGGCCTTCAAGGGAAAGCTTCGGATCAATACTGTCGATACAGAATGCCTCTCTCCTGGCTCACTTTCCAAACATGACCCGTGGGCCATCCATCTGCAGCAGTCAATTTGCACTTTAGGCTAACAGCGTATTTAATAGCTGGCACTTGACTTGTAAGGAGGCTTATTAGAGAACAATTTGTCTGCTGATACGGCGATACTGTCAAACAACAAGTGAAAAAGGCTGAGTTTGACATCTCGACACCTCATGAAGGATGAAACACAGGTTTAATTCAATTTATTCTGACCGTTGCACATTGCCAGGGCTTCTGCAGGTTTCACCAATTCAAGACCTTTTCAAGACCATTGTGAATGAGATTTAAGATCTATATCGCCACGGAAATATGCAAACTTCGTACAGCCAACTGGACATAAATTTGGGCTTGTACGTGACAGACGCAAAACGTTAGCTAGCTAAAAAACAACAGTATGTTAGCAGCTGGTTGCCAGTATCTTCATCTGCCTCAAGTCACGGGCCACAATGAAGACGATTGTTTGTGATTCAAGCTATTGCCTGACAGAAAAAGTTCCAAGAGAAATCCAACTTCTTCCAGCCAACTTGTAAAAAAGTTAACTAGTTAGCTAGAAAGTGTATGTTAGTAGCTAGTAACCGATAAACTCAACTGCTTGGACAACGCACAACGTGGTGAAGATGTCTGCATGCAACTCAAACTTTTGCCTGACAGGAAAAGTCCCAAGAGAAAAGAAAATACATAGAATATATGAGATTAAACAGTCCTGCCAAGACAAATACTTGCAATTAACATATTAAAAGCAAACTTACTTTTTTAATGAATAAGACATTTAAAGGTTTTAAAGTAAGGTACATGAATTTAAGACTTAAGGGTGCGTGGGCACCCTGGTTATGAGATATAAGAAAATCAGGTGCTGTCACCCAGGTGAGGTGGGGGTCGCCAAGGCGAACGCAGATTCTGCGTGTGTGGTGAGCAGAACAAGGCTGAAGCCTGAACTTGCAAAGTAAAGCTAACATTGTATTATGTGTTGGCAGAGAGAAGCCCACAGTGAGAGCGGTGTTTGTTTGTGTGTGGTGGTGGGGTTAAGCCGGGTGAGACAAAAGCAGCCCACAGCCGTGTGCCGCTCTCCCTCCGCACAGACGTGACAGACGACAGGAGAGAGTTTCGGAGAGACGGCAGAGAGACCGGGGACACTTTTACCTGATGTAACACATTCCTCGGTCTCTTGTGTCAGCGTGGCCTTAAAAGACGGCGGCAGGAGGCGGAAACGTAGGCAGAAGCTGTTACTTCGTGCCAGACATTTTAGAGAAAGTCGAAGGAGATATTAAGGAAGCTAATGTGTTGAGAGTGGGTTAATAGCAGGTTGCATGCTGGTTTTTAAAAACAATCTGTCTCAGTCACCCTCTGACTTGACAGATTTGACTTTATAATCGTCTGTGCTCGCTTGCAGATAATGACAGCTTCTTCGCCCAGTTTCTTTTGTGCGTGTGAGACGAGATAATAGCAGGGCATGTGTCTGCCCTCGAGACACGGTACGCAGAACCGCCTGTGTCCCGACACAATAGGCCAACCTCCTATTGTGGGTTAGTTGGCCAAATTTTCAACACCCCCCCCCCATCTGCAGTAGGGGCCAATTACAGCAGATCCTAAAAATCCATGTTCACACAAGTGGACTCGGCCTGGAGATCCGTATAATCAGCCATCACATAAACACACTCGCACTCTAATAGGATAAACTATAGAGAATGATTCATACACTATAGGAACAGACAAAAACTTTTCTTAGCCCCATTTTTGACTAAGAAATAGGGCATAGCTTCTCATCTAATGTATGAACTCTCACGACTGAAGTTTGAAACAAAAAGAGGCGTGCAACAAACAAAAGGTTGACTCACAGAAACCAAAAGGGAAGCATGTTTGAGAATTAAACCTGCCATGCAGGTGCCAAAGGCCACGGCAACAAATGAAACTGGTCTTGTGTGTCGGTACACAGGCATGCGTGTGCCTTTCTCTGAGCCACCTGTGGTGTTTACACAACTGAGGCTTTTTTCCCCTCCACTTGTTTCAGACAGATTTATTCTCTTACCTATCAGATCAGATAAGTTTCACAGTGTTTCAACACCTACTGTGGCAGGAGATGGTGATAAGGCTGGCTTTCCTGCCTTCTCCCTCTTGAGGAAAAAAAAGAGGGATGGTATTTAATGCTTTCCAGAAAGTGACCTTAAACCCTTGGAGGGTGTTTTGTAGAAGAAACTGCTGTGACGGAATCAGGGCTACTGGCTGATAAGCAAGCAGAGAGATGAACATGTAGATGTCGACAAAAACAAACTAAATCTCGGGAAAAATTATTGCTAAATTATCCTTTAGGATTCTAAGGTTTATCCATTGGGAATCTCTGCCATGTAATCAAAAAATGCCATGTTTAATTTCGCGGTACCGCTTTTTTATTAAGCAAGACTAACTGGATCTGACCTGGAACCAAAAACTGTCTTTCTCCACTGTTTTCAAGCCTTTTGTATTGTCTGCCAATATGATGTATGATTATTTTTGAACAAACTGTTGGCAATCAATCAGCCAAAAGTGAACATAACTTGTCTCCAGTCAGACGAAGGTCCTGAGATCTGATATAAGAAGAGTAAAGGCTCATCTGGAATAAAGGAGCCACATTGCCAATCTCATTGATCAAAATCCTACTCAGCTGGCTGAACTCCAGAGGAAAAAAAATTGCCTTCACTACACCACAAACTCAGTGACATTTCTAAATATCCTGTCAATTTTGGTAAAATTTTCTGTCAATCCATTCTTGGCTTTTCCCATCCTGGCCCCAGCAATATTCTTGCACTCATCTCTGGGGTCTTCAAGGTGTTCCTAGACTGAGTATATACAGTCCATCTAGCAAGTTCTAGGTTGCTAGAACTTGCTAGATGTAGGAGATATCCAGAAAGCATCAGACAAAAACACAGTCTGCCCTTTTCAGATGCCAGAACTTTCTCTATCGACTCCTTTCAGAGTGGAAGAGCAGCAGATCTAGTCCTACTTACCTCTAGATAATTCTGTTGCGAGTCTCGAAAGGCACAAAAGCTAAGTTTTTTGACAGCGTAAAACTTTGCATGTTCTGTGTCACATAGTGAATTGCTCATCACCAAACTTATTAGGTTGAGAGTTGGCTCAACAAGAGTATGTTGGATGCCCTGGTGGAGAAAAAAAGGGGACTAGGCACCAAACTGGCTCAGCAAACTTCCTAGTATTCCTTCGTATTGTGGGAAATAAAGCAATTTGTCACGAGAAAAGAAGGCAATCAGAACATTCCACCGTGAATCCCAATCATCCGCAGAGAATGTGAGCAGAATTTGTGCGGAAGTACACCCAAGAATGTTGGACCCTTAACTCTTAGGATGCTAATCTGTCAATCTGTCCACTGGCTCATCTAATCACTTGCGAACAAGGAATTATGAGGTAACATTGAGAGGGTTGTAGGGCATAACGTCAACTTATATGTGTCAACTCAGACCTTTAAACACACATGGATGCGTCGTGACAAGGTGTTCTGAATTGAACGAGTGAGGAAGGGATCACCAAGCAACTCTGCCAACGGTACGAGTTTAGAGGAATGTAACTGGACCAGATCCCTCATTCCTGGAGGGGAAACCACAGTTCATAAATCTTTCTCTGTCCTCCCATCGAGACACAACTTGTACACCTCTGGGTTGAAGCCATTCCTCTGTCCCTCTGCTACAATGGTTGAAAGTTAACATTTAACACCAGGCACCTTTCTTCAATTCCAACCAAGTCGAAATAAACTTTTACAAAAGACAAATTACGAAGCTTATAAAAGCCACATCCTGCTGAGTGACTTTCTTTAGAAGAAAAGCAGATCTCAGCCTGCAGTGGACATTTCAACACTGGACCATTCTGCTGATGTCCCAACAAAAACTCATTAAGAGGCTTGAAGAGAAAAAAGAAATAGCTGTGGTCCAGCTGCTGTAGGAGTACCAGTGGTGATGTCACAACATATGATACCAGGCTTGTAAGTCGGCGGACGGTCTGTTTGCGGGAAGACGAGGGGAATGAGGGAGCGGAGACACTAGCACATAACAGGCATGCATCATCATTGTCTCTCCCGTTTCTTCAGTAGATAAGCGGGGAGTGAACTTTGCTCAATGAAAGTGTGAAGTGCTGTCAGTGATGAGTTGAATGCGAGTCCGCGCTGCGAGACAAAAGCCCTTTAATGTGCTCCATTTCGGAGCACCATAAAGCTGGTTAAAGAATAACCTGTACGTCAGAGAGCCAGACGCACTGTTCTTCCCGTCATTAAGGGGCCGCTTTATGGCTCAGCGACTGCAGTGAGAGTGTACACAAAGCTAACACCCGCTCCAATTTACACACAAGTCGCGCAGCGAGAGAGTGGAGGGAGGACGGTCTCTTATCAGCTTTGATGAGCATATGCCAGCCGACAGCATTTGCTATAATAAAGATAAAACTGATGAGCTAAATTTTGGTAAAAACACTAATAGGCGTAAAAATCCTGGAAAAGCAATAAGAGATCATATTTAACAAACACATCCCCACCCCAACAATGCACAAAACAACAAAGCAGAGAGAGGCTTTGAAAAACAGACGGCCTGGAAGATTTGGCTCCGATTCTGAAGGTGATCCACATCTTGGGGCCACGTGTTCTTTCTTGCTGCTGCTTTGGGAAAAAATGGGGGAGCAGGAGATGGGAGGAGAACCAAACAGGCGCGAGGCAGAAGAAACTTTGC